TGTATACGTTCAAAATCATGAATCATATTTGAACGTTGTTTTATCCATTCATTATAATCATGAAAAATTTGAACAAGATTTGGATAACATTCATCAGTAGCAAAATGAACAAATTTATCCTGTAATTGTTCGAGATTTTTTCGACGACGAAAATGTGAATCACTTTGTAAACGATTATATGTACTTAATAAACGATCCTGAAACAAAAAATAATGCTCGATTAATTAAAACTATGACATTAAACATGGAAGATTATGATATGAACTATCAGTCTACTAAATCAACTGAATATAATAAGTGAGAGTACGTTTAGAAGATAAATGTACTGGTCAAGGTTATTCTTGAAGAACGTCTATTTCGCCGTTTTATATACTAGTTAAAAATGGGCACTACATAGTCATTTAAAGCAAATAACTGATTTAACTTAAGAAGTATATTAAGTGTTCAATAGGGAGCTACGGAGTACTCCGACACCCGATTACGACTACGACTCCGTTGGAGTCAAAAAAGTTGACTCCGTAGGTCCCTAATGTTCAAACATCTGTATATCTATGATTTTCATATTTGACTTTTTATTTTCCGCCATTTATTTACCTTACGAAAGCTTTCATGGAGATCATTTAAATCTTTGAGAAGTTTATCTGTACGATGAATCCATGATGAATAAGTTTTAGTACGATGTGATGACCAAAGTGTATTAACAAATGGTTTTTGATCTTCAACCATACCTAATTGACCACCAAATTCCTTTTCAATCATTTCTAATATATCTTTTTGACATTTCTTTAATTGTTCATATGGTTGAAGATATGCTCGAAGATAAATGCGAATACTTTGTTGAATAAGTAGCATTGGAGATGAAGTTGATTGACGACGTGTTGATCCTATTCAAATAATATTTTATGTTTTAAAGTAAATTATTTCAATGAATTACCTGGTGATAAACTACCATCATTCGATGGTGGATTATTTAACAAATGTGAAAAGCCAATTGATGGTGCTTCACCACTATTTGTTGATAGGGCTCTTTGCGGAGGTCCAGTTAAACCATTAAAACTGACTGAATTACCATTTGTTGGTGTTAATTGTCCATTTGTACTATTATCAATTTGATCGAGAATATTTTTTAATTCTTCAATAGCACGAAAAACAATAAGTTTGGAATGAATTGTACAGAGAAATTCTAATAATTTCGATTTTAAATGTTGTTGCATGATGGTTGTTGAACATTGTGCTGTTTGTAAAATATGTTGATATTCAATTAATTGTGTTTTAACATAAAAAAATAATCCAACGATATCTTTACTCCATTCACATGCAGCAGCAACATCATTATATTGTCGAATAGCTTTAACATCAGGTATATGAACTTTTGGTGAATATGTATCACCATGTTTTAATGCTGAAAATGTATAAAAAACAAGTGGAGTTTCACGTGATGTTGGAATTGGTAATTGTTCACAAAATATTTTTATTGACATTGGCTTATTTTTTGGTATCGGATATGGTACACTAATAAAAATACGAAATATGATATACATATATATGGATATAGTAATAATTACAACAGAGAAAGAAAGTTATCAAAACATTATAGTTGATAATGTATTTAATGGAACTGATATCAATCGTAATCATTTGTACGAACAAAATAATTTAGATCAATGTGAACTATTTTTTATTCCAACAAAATATCCTATTCACCGAAAGATAACAAGTCATGTTTTTATCATTTTAAAGATTAGATTAATTTTATCAGTGATTATAATGTAGGAAGTCATGAGAAGATTTTTTTTTTATAGAATAATTAAAACTTTCTTACTTTTGAAATAAACAATAATATTCTTCATTATTTTCATCGCCATTTAATTGATGTAATTCATCATATAATTTTGTGATTGATTGTGTTGGTTCGAAATAACCACATGATAATTTAAAAAGTTTTAAATTTAAATAATAAATTGGCATTAGATTAAGAATACGATCAGTTTCAATAAAAAATTCTCTAAATGTCATTAACTTATTTCTTTCGGATTCTAATAAACGTTGTAATAAAAGTTCTAATCGATATTTAAGACTGGATGATAAACGACATGAATCTGGTAATGTTTTTGACCATTGAATTTCTCCACCTGGTGTAGTTTCCATACCTAAATAAATAAATAAAAATATTCGATCAGAATACAAAAAAAAACAAATATTTCATACCGGAAATACAACCAGATGGTTTTGAATCTAGAATACGTTTCATAACTGTTCGATCTTTACGTGTACCAGCAAATGGTTGAAATGGAAGTTCACCTTAAATAATATATACATTTCTATTGCAAAAAGTACATAATTTTATAGGTTTTTTTTACAGACCAGTTGCACATTGATAAAGTGTTACACCAAGCGACCATAGATCAACTTCGAACGGAAAATCAACACGAGTTTGTAAAGCTGTTCGTAAAACATTTGTTTTATTATCACGTACAGCAGCTCTAAAAAAGGAATAAAAGAATTAAATTTAAATGGTAAATTAATTGATCTTACCGATATAAATCAGGATGAATATATTCTTCAGTACCAACTAATGAAGTAAACGCATTTTCACCTTCATTTATAAGACGAGCAACACCTAAATCAGCTAATTTATATGTACGTTCACCATTGATATTAACTGAAAGCATTATATTATCTGGCTTAATATCACGATGAATCTAAATTAAAAGATGCAAATATAATTTATCAAATTAACTGAAATATTTTTCTTACGGTATTTTTATCATGTAAATATTTTAATGCATTGGTAAGATGTTTAAAAACTAACATAAAATCATCTTCCATCAGACCATAACGATTTTCAGGTAATTCAAGAACATTATGTAAACTTCCACCATTACAATATTCAATTAATAAAGCTTCTCGATTGCCTAGTGAATGTGTTGCATCTGATTGAACAACTGGTTCCAATGCAATATAACGAACAATATTTTCATGATCAGCTGCCTTAAGTATATCCATTTCACGATCTAAGATTGGACGGAAATCTTTTTCACGAGCATAATTTTGATGTCCACCATAGGGTGAACGTAGATTTGATGATACTTGATAAACTTTAGCAGCAACTAATTCTCCTGTTGATTTATTATAAGCTTTGTATACTTGAGATGTAGCACCATGACCAAGTATATCCTGTGTAGCCCATAGATAATTCTGTGTTTCTTCACACATTATCGTGCTTTATAACTTTTAGTAGCACGTATATCTAAACGATATAAATTTATTTCATAGTAAAACAAAAAACCTTTTGTGAAATTTCCATATTTATCGAATAAATAAACATTTCGTTTTTTATGCACATTATAGCGTGTCGCGTTTACATTTTATTTGACTCTATTACGTGTCAGTTGACTTTATAGGGTTTATTCATAGGACGGGCGAAAAAAAAAAGTTATCAGAACTATAAAGAAAATTCCACAATAAAAAAAGAATAAAAACTGTTGACCCTGTAATAGATATAAAATAAAAGTGTGGGAGTAGAAGGAAGAACAGGGGGTAAAATGTGACTAAGTATATGATGATTCTTTTTTCCTGTCGGGAAAAAAAGAAACAAAAACAGGTGTATAGAGGCGACTAAAGATACTCCAATTGGTTAAACGTATACATATAGATGGCATTAACGTTAATTTTTAGCATATTTAAAAAACAAATTTTATTACAGAATTTGATTTGACGTTATTATTTTGAAAAAATCGAAAATGAAATAATATTGTAGAAATAATTATTTAAATAATAGAAATATTTTATTAGTTAGAATAGAAACCAATAACTAATCATTGAATGAATGAAAAATTCATCTTATAATCAATCAAGATGGTGAGTGAATCTCAACTAGTAAAACGTTTTGCTGACCTTTCAACATCTCAGCAAAGTGTTGAAACATTATCATTATTTCTTATGCACCATCGTCGTCAATCTCAAACGATTGTACATGTTTGGGCAAAAGAATTAGTTAGTGCCGCAGCAGATCGAAAGATTGGTATGTAATTGAATTATTTTCTTTCTAACAAAAATAAAAACTCATTATCTTTTGATTTTTAAAGCATTTCTTTATGTTGCTAATGATGTTATTCAACATGATAAACGAAAAGGTGGTGATTTTGTCAAGGATTTTCTTCCCATGCTTGCTTCAGCAGTACAACACATTGTTAGTAAAAGTAATGATGACAATATTCATAAAACTGTTAAAAGAATTATTCAAATATGGAATGAACGACAAATTTATCAACCTGATGCTATTAAATTACTCAAAACAAGTTTAGAGAACGGGGTAAGAATGGATATTAAGATCAAAAGATCTTTTTTTTTGTTGTATTACAAGACAGATCGATATTTAAATAGATTAGTTCTATTCCGATTGGAAAATCATAATGAAACGTAATATTACAAAACTAAATGCAATACTTCATATATCGTTCTCATCTATTTTATCTTGTTACCTCAAATTCTCTTCTCTATTTGTTCGTTTTATCAGACATAGTCAAGTTTTTATCTTTTTCATACCAGATGAAGTATTATAATGAGATTTTTCTATTTGAACTTATTGACGATCTTCTCACTTGTACTAAATTTTATAGCGAATAACAAATAGTCTTACTTATCAAGGTTCAAGTAATATTATATCATTATTTTGTTTGTTATATTAGATTCAAAAAAAGGAATCTGATGATGAAGATGAAGAAGATCAGACAAATGGACATGGTAAACGTAAACGAACTGATCCATCATCAACTACTGGAAATAATCCAAAACGACGACGAAAAGTCAAACGAAAATTATCTCTTCGTGAAGAAATTCGCCGTGATTTAGCAATTAATCCTATACCTGTACCAGTTGTTGATGAAGTTGTTAAAATGTTACAAGAATTAGAAAATTCTCCATCATCAGATGCTGATGTATGATTTATAAAAGCAAAATTTCAAACAATAAAAGTTCTTTCTTTCATTTAGGTACGAGAAAAAATAGCTGCATTACCAATTGAAGTGAGTGATTCAAATTTATTAAAAAATCTTCGTGATAAACAAGAAGCAACTGATTTATATAAACTTGTTCAAATGGCACATGGTTTACTTGATGAATATAATTTACGTTTAGAAAGTGAATTACGTTCACGTCGTTATACAGCTAAAATGTTACAAGGTTATATTCAAGCACAAGATCGACAAATTGAATATGAAGAAAAAATTTTAGAAGAATATAAAAATAAATTATCCAAATTAAATTCAATTCGTGAAGAAATTGAAAAACATAGAAAAAATTTGCCAAAAAATGTAAATAATATTGAAATGACACCTTTACCGAGTGCAGGTGATTTATTTGCAAGATAAAATTATGATATATACGTGTGTTTTTCTTTTTTTGTTATATATTAAACACATGTAATAACTGTGTTGTTTTATGTAGATGTCGAACAAAAACAAAATAAATAAAACTTTTTCGGAGTATATTAAATCGAAAGAACATCCTGTTTATGACGCTAATTTCTGCTGATAATGTGTTAACGAATGAGTTATAGTTGTGTCTCGAACAGTAGATTTACAGTCAAAACAAAAAAATGAATTATTTGATACAGACAAATACCCATTAAGTGAAAGAACATTTCCCAAGAAAGTAGAAAAATAAACGTCTTGTGTTAGTGTATGTGGGTAGTGACTAAGGTCCTGTGCGGAAACGAGAAGCGTCTTCTGTTGCCGGTAAAAAGTTCTGTGCTATTCCCCCAGTTTTGATACTAAAGATGGTTTGCACAATAGGCTTTGTAGAGACATATTTGCTCTTTTAGTCTATGCACTTGGAAGCTTAGAATAATTCTTGACAGTTAATTGATTTAGTTGACATCACGTTTGGGGAAATCATTTTCCTGAACTTTTTGTTGACTCAAGGAATTGCCCGAAAAGAATTATTCTAAACTTCTAAGTGTATAGACTGAAAGAGCGAACATTTCTCTACAAAAATTACTATTCAAACCACTTTTACCATCAAAATTCATGGAAGGACACAAAACTCTTTTACTGGAAACATAAGGTGTTTTTCGTTCCCAAAGAGAACCCTACTACTCTTACTTCAGTATTCTCTTCAAGGATGTTAAACAACGACTATATATCTACTCTTTGTCTCTATCTATTCGATTTTTATATTTTAAGCTTTAACGCATTTCTTTATAAGCTGCACTGGGTGAGAGAGCGATATTTTATATGAAGGATTACATTTACCGATTTTTTTTCTTACAAAACATCTTGAACAAAAAGTGATAATATCGTAGATTCCAATAAATGAATAATCTTAATAAACCCATTTTGAAAATAACCAAAAAGATTTTCAAGTATAAAAATCAAATCCATTTTTTGACACTCACTAAATTCGATTTATCCATCAATTGCAGATCAAAGAACATTTTAAAACTCTAATTTTTCTATTATATTGATTTTGATTATAATCTAGTTTATATTACAAATTAAAAATTAAAAATTCATTATTTAATATACTTTTTCTTATTTCATACAAAAACAGATAAGTTTAAAAATAATCCGTATATAATCAAATTAGTAGTTAAATAACCTTTCAAACAAACAAATATACATGGAATATAATAATAAGAAGATGATGGAAAAGAAACATCTATAACAATTCACAAAGAATTGCACCGAAGAAGAAGAAAAAAAAGAATATTTGTTCAAATAAGTTTATGCTTGAGAACTTTCCGCAATGATACCACGTAAATCTCTTGCAACTGTTTCTAATAATTTAATATTTTCTTTTTCCATTGCTGGTTGATTAAATTTACGTAATAATGGTCGTTTTAATCCTTCTCGTAATCTAAATAATTCATAGATAAAAATTATTATATTCATTCATTTCAACTTACTTTTCGACAACAATTAAAGCTGTATGTGGATGAACACGTGCAAACGGTGAATTTGGATCACCATATTGATCAAAAAAAACTGACCATTGTTTATCCATAACAAGATCAAGTAACTAAAAAATATTACACAATAAAATCTTTTTCTTTTTGTATTTTTCATATTACTTGACGTAGATCTTGAAAGCAAAGTAATAATGTTTCACTATCTAAATTTGCAATATTAATTTTTGATGCGAATACTAAATAATAAAAAAAGAAAAGTTTATTTTGAATAAATAAATCGAAATCATTCTAACCTTCACATTGCATTAAATCAAGACTCATTTGTTCAAGTGCACCAAAGGATAAAGCTTTTACATCAGGACTAAGAATAATATTTATTAATGATGCTGATATATGTTTACATGCTGATAAACATGTTGTTTGAGATAATTGAGTCTATACAAAGAAAAATAAAAAGATCATTGAATGAGAGAGAAAAAAAGGTGTGAATAAAAATAATTCAAATTTATTATTTGATTAGAGCAATACAAATAGATAATCTTTTAGATATCCCCATCTAAATTTTTCTTAGTGGTTATTTTCTATTGTTTTAGCAATGATAGATATTTATTGGTGAGCATAGATAAATTTTAACTTACTTTTCTCTAGAAAGTAAAAGAATTAAAAATAATTTATTTAGAAGAAAAGCGGAAGAAAATTCAAATTTTGTAAAAATCTTACTGGTAGATGTGTAAATGCACGAAATGTATTTTCAAGAAATTGTATTGTGGTAGTAATATAATCACTAGCAACACCAGATGCTTCTTGCATCATCCAATCGTATGAAGCTAAAAGGTTTTTTAAATGAAAAAATTCAAATCAATCAATAATTTTCATTACCAATATCTAAACATTGATCGATCTTATCATTTAATTTATCGTAGATACGATCTTCTACAAGACTGCGAATATCCTAATAGAAAATTTAAATATGGTATGATTTAGAACTATGTAAATATATAGTTACTTTAAGCATGGATGCACCTTGTAATCGAAGTCCAATTTGTCTTGCACTACCACTAGAATATAAATAATTCGATTTGTTAGGTGGTGTCATCATCATTTAATTCATCTCGTCAAATATATCTCATCTTTCGTTCTGCTTTATGGATTTCTCATTTTATGTTGTCCTATGTGGTAAGACTTTTCTCATCTCGTTCACCTGTTGGGATGTTTTCTTAGCTTTAATCATTCATCGCTCTATATATAGCGTGTGATTTTCTACGAATCAACAGAGAGGATAATCATTTTCACAGATTATTAATAAAAATAATACTTTTCTAAAATATTATAACATTCAATTAAATACTTACTGTACTAAAGCAATAATATAATCTTCTAAATAAGGCATAGCATTTTCTAAATGTAATGTATTGATACAAATTTGAACAAGCTAAGAATGTAAACATTTTTATATATTTTTATGAAAAATATTATTTGAAATGAGTTTACTTGTGAAAAATTAAGTTGAGTTTCAGATTCAGCTGCTGTTAATTCTACTAGAGCACTTTTTAATGTTTTAGTTAATAATAAATTTGTAGGTTTTCGAATCATATCGTCGATTTCTGTTTTACTAAAAAGAAAATATTCATTAATATAATATATGTATCATATTGTTTAATATTATTTACCTAACGTTGAGACCTTTAGCAAATTTCGCACATATGGAAGCAAAATCTTTAATTTCTAAAAATATTTTTGGTACTGATTCACTATATGGTAATGAACGTGGAAATGGTAACTAAAATTTTTTCAATAAATAAATACATCGAGATTTTATTTGTTAACTAAAAACCTTTTCAGTTGCTTCAATTCTCAATGGAAATTGTCTTAGAAGTAATTGATATTTCGTTTCATCTTCAATAATCATTGGTGTATAATTATCTTTTGTAAGAATTTCACTAAATTTTTGATTCCATTGTGTTAATAATAATTGTTGATAACTTTCTCTGGAAAAGAAAAATAAATAAATATAAACATATTTTTTCCCAATTTTCTTATTAACCGTAATTCCATTAAAACATCTAATAAAGGTGTAACTGGAAAACCAGATTCTTTAATTGCAGCACAAAAAAGTACAACAACTATTTTCATATCAAGCATTAATTCAGGATTGTATGATTGTGACTAAAATAGAGTAAAATTTATGAATTATTTCTTCTTATGTAAAAGAGAAAAAACAAACAATTGAGCAGCAGAATTTCAATAATATTCTTATTTGTTTTTCTACTATTAAATTACCCCACTGGAAGTACTCGGTTGTAAACAGAAATCCTGTTGATATGTGTATAGATATTAAACAAATCTGTATAAAGAAGAAGAAGAAGAAAAAGAATAAAACTAACCACTGCACGTCGAAGTACAGCTAATAATTGTTGTGTTGCACGTTCACATAATTCATAATAAAATCTTTGATCAATTAAACCTTCAGTTGTATTCATAACATGATCTTCAACAATAAAAAAACCAGTTACACGTTGTAAATATTTTTTAAATGCATCAAATGATTCATGCATTCTTGGTGGGACATCCATTATAACAGGCGCTTGTTTTGTTTTTTCACGTTGATAATGTTTAGAAAATTCTTCTTTACAATTAAGAAATAAATTTATATGAAGACTTTTATAAATTGGAGAAAAATCGATTAATTCAGTTATATTCATATTTATTAAAGCTGAATCAATTGTTCCATCAACTGGTTGTTGTTGATCTTTTTTTCGATCTTCTTCGGATGTATAATAACGTCTGTCAATATCAAGACGAGTAGCTGCCTAAAACAAAAATAAAATATTGCGTTATGATTGAGACTGTCAATGGATAAATGAGAAGAAGAAGAAGAAGTCTGTTAATGAAACAGGAAAACAAAGAAAGAAAATTATTCAAAAGCTACAGATTTAGACAAAAGACTCACAATATTTTTTGATTAATTGCTCGAATCACATGAATGTCCTTCGACTACAATGAAGTACGAATGTGACTTGAAAAATTAATGTAGAAATATTCGTAATAAAATTTTTCCATTACTATTAAATATCTTTGAACGATGAAGTAAGTAGTTAATTTTTTTCACCATGAAGAAAGGAAGCACTGGGCTAGATTTTAAGCTGAAGGATACTTGGATATATACTCTTATTAGTACAGAAAAAAAACTGAATTCGAATAATACTCAAGACTAGGGGTAGGACAGGTCCATATTAGTTCCGTTCTTAGGAACTGTTTAATAGTTCGTTTGAAAAGAACTGAACTATGCCAACAGTTCTTTGAATAGAACCGAACTGAACTGCTAGTTCTTTTGACCAGTTCATCTAAACTTGGAACTGTCCTACCCCTACTCAACACAATTTGATGATGATTCTCATCATAAGATAAAATAGGTCAAATTAAGTGTACTCTAAATTCGGAGTTTACGCCCTTCTAAAGTTTTATGAAAAACTCTACCTGAAAACTGTAATCATCTGTTTTTGATTGCTCTAATAGATACTCTAGACTGTGCTGAGTCGACTGGTAATGATCAAGAAAAGAAAGCACACTGTTACAAGCGACAAGTTGTCGAAAACTCGAAATTTGGAGCCCACTTTTCTCAACCGATAAAATATAATTCCTGAATGAACCGTATTGTTTTGATATTTTATATTTAAACATACTTGTGCAAAAGCACTTTTTCCAATTTTATCTGCATGTGTTGCAACATTTTCAAGAAAATTTTTTAATTCATTATGTGATTCATTACGAATTTGATTACGAAATTTTGCAATATTATGTTGAATAAGTTCTGACCAACGATGTTCTTTTACAAGAACAAGATGTTTTGTTTCTAATTGTTCAAGTAATTTTAATGCTGGATAAAGTCTATTGAATAATATTTTATAAATGAAGAAAATTTAAAGAAAAACTTACTTTTTTTCTTCCATACATTCTTGTAATTTTCGATATGTTTCAAAAACTAAAAATTATCAATAAATATTTATTATTCTCTTATTTAAATTAAAATCTCCGATCGGTGATGCTAGATTCTTTAATTATAATACCTGGAAATGCTTGCGATAGTGCATCAATTGTTTGTTGTATATTACTCTGTCGATGATATTCTTTAATTAAAGCTTCAGTTTTCTTTGCTAAACTTTGTCCAGCTACTTGCATCATTTGATTATTTTTCACAAGTTCATTCTAGAAAAATTTCGAATAACAAAAAAACAATCGAAAATTTCTAATTTTTACCTTCATACTTGTTGTATCTTTTCGTACTTGTAATAACTCATGAAATGATTTAACAAAACTTTGATATTGAAAATTACATAGTTTTTCTATTTCATTATCATAATATTTAATACGTTCGTCAAGTTTTCTTAAAAATGTTCCGGCATCATTTCGAACAAAAACCGAGCTAAACGAAATATTTCAAATACATATATATTCGATTCATTTTTATATATACCGAACACATGATGTTGATTGTGATCCATCAGATATTTCAAGTTGTTTTATAATATTATCCAAATATGTATCTGATAATTGTCCATCACTATGTTCTCCATTCATCATTTTCAAATTGCAAAAAAATATAAAACTGAAATAACCACAAAGAAAAATCAACATTGCTATCAAATAAGATATATAAATCTTTTTTTTTTTTCATTTCAATCATAAAAGAGACAAACAGAGTGATGTGTAAATTAAGAAAGAATAGACATTTGAATAATGAACCGACAAAAAAGAAAAGAAGAAAGTTTGTTTTAAAATGAACAAAGCAGAAGAAGTAGGAAAAAAAACGAACGAACTGTCACCATGATGGAATGATTTGATATATATATATTATATAAATTAATTTGTTTAAGCATTTTTAAGTTCGGATCCAATTTTATAAGCAGTAATTTTTGTCCAATCAATTTTAGCTTTTGTTATTGGTAATTGACGACGTAATGCTTTAAATGTTGAATCAGACATAACTTGATAATTTTCATTAACAGCTTGCTGAAAACAACAAACAAAGTTTTAAAAAGAAATTAATTCAATTAATTATTTACTTGATAGCTATCTTCAGATTGACGAATAATTCGAATAATTTCTTTAGCAGTCGTTGTTTCGTCCTTAGCAAAGAAAATAGTTAAAATTGTTTTTATTAGAACAAAAAAAAAAATATTTACTTGAAGTTGAATAGTTTCGGTAATATCTTTACTACTGACTAATTGTACATTGCCATCTTCGAAGTAATGAACCTAAGAAATAATAAAATGGAATAAAATCACAGAAATTCTTAAGTTTAGCTCGATTGACTGATTTAGTTATGAAAGAGCCTTTTAGAAAGTATGAAGAGTGTGGTTTAGATTTTATCCCAACCAATAGTGTCTGAGTTCGAGTCGAAAAATAAAGACTTAAATGAAGTGTAATCGATAGATGAGTCACTCTTCGGTTTTATTAGTTTTGCAAGAAAACCAATCATATATTTTATAACTTACTTGAGCTTTAATAAGACCAGTTAATTCACATTCTGTTTGACCTTTTGTAAAAGCTAATGACCATTTTGAACGCCAACGTCCATTCCTATAAAACAAATGCAAAAAAAGAAAATAGAATGTATTTCTCTTTGAAAATTTTCATAATTTATACCAGAAATTTTTCGGTTCAAATTTATGACTTTCAATAAAAGCAGCTAATGTAATCGTATCAGCATCACTTCCACCAATAACCGTACAAGCACCATATGTATAACGTTCTTTAATGTATTCAGTAAGTTCCTTTTCAAATGTAGAACGCCATGGTTCGGATTGTTCATCGGATGTATGTGGTTGATATTCCGATGCTTCACGACGTAAATGATCGAATCTGAATTAGAATTAAATTTAGACAAATTGAATATTACAGAAGAGAAATATATACTTAAAACTTTGTCGTGTACGAGGATCATAAAATCGACTATCACTTAAATCATTTGCATCTGTTATAAGACATTCTTCTTCTACACCTTGAACTTTCGTTGGTATATATTGATCACGATTATATTCAGCAAATGCTCTTAAATACAAAATATTATTGTAATTTATTAAGTTCTATGAAAAAATGTTGAATAAATGAAATATTTTCCATAATTTTATTAGAATCGATCATGAACTATCCGTCACAAGAGATTCTATCACCTGAATTCCCATTGGAATTTCTAGACTAATTGAATTTTACAATATTTACTCATTCGAATAACAAAACGATTTGTAACTTCTCTTATCCAAATAGACTTAGTAAATGTCAAGTATATTTCAACACAAATTATTAATCTAATCAAATAGAGTCAATGTACACTTGACTTTCTATCTTACTTTGAAACTGATCGTCGAACTAACGCATCATCATTCAATAATGTTCGAACATCTACAACAAGAAAAAAAAATGATTATAAAGATATATTTTTCTTTAATTCTAATCTAACCATTAAAAACTTCATTAAATTCTCCCGGTGGTGCATGAGCAATAAAACGTCGAGCAATTGTTGCTTTTTCTTCATCAGTTAAAGTTTCGCCCATAATTTTGTTCGTTCTTTTGAATTAAATTCAAAGTAAAAAAAAAAGAATATCTAAAAATAAACAAAAACTAAACATCTTTATGTTCGATTAAATATGATTTTTGAACAAGATCTTCATAAGATTTTCTTAATTCAATCAAAATAACACTTAATGCAATTCCAACATTTAAACTTTCAACATCATTTAATAATGGGATATAAACCATTTTTCCAGCATGTTCAATAGTTAATTTTCTTGCTTGAAGACTTGTACCTTCTGTTTCACCACCAACAATTATTGTCGAATGATCGGATGATTTTATATTTGAAAATGCTTGCCATAATGATTGATAATCAATAGGAATATTTTTATATAATGGTAAAAAACGATTATTTGATAATGAATATGAACGATCTTCAGTTTTATCGGAACGTTTGATTTGTTTTCGTTTTTCAAGCATTTCTTCAAACATTTGTTTTGATGCTAGAAGAAAATAATATTAAAAATAGAAAATCTTTATTTAGAATACTTACGATTATTATCTGATAAGGTTTTATTTTCTTCAAATGAATATTTATGATCAGCTAAATAAATCTTACTCATTTCTGGTATATGATTAGTAATTGTTTCCCATCCAACATCATTGATTATAGGTAATCGAAAATGTGCTCCCATACCAGAACGAATAACTTTTGGATCCCAAATATCCACACAACCTTTCAATGCAAGTAAACGATCACAACCAACAGCAGCACATGTTCGAATAATAGTTCCCATATTTCCTGGATCACGAACATTATCACAAATAACAGTTATTGGAAGAGTTATGCGTTGTTGAAATGAACAAGTATCAGGTCGTGGCATTGCAAAAATTGCTAAATAAAATTTAAGAGAAGAAAAAACAATATTTTATCAATTAATTCCTTTTATAAAATTTCTACCCATAACTCCTTGACTTGTTTGTACATCTGACCATGTACGGAATGCACTTGGTGAAACTTGATAAGCAGTAAAATTCAGATCTGTTGGTGAGAAATCAATTGTCTAAAAAAACAAAGAATTTTTATTTTCTTACATAATCGCTTTTTTCTCTTAGTCATCATCAATGAATAAAAAACTGTATCGAATTACAAGTTCTATGTATTCTTTATCAACTGTTTGTATTTATCGAGTAGTGAATAGTAGAATTATTTGTATACTATTTATATCAAACAAATACTATAAACAACTAGAAATATAAATATATCTATGATATATAACAAGGCTAAACAAACTACTGGACTTTGTTTTGATAAGACAACTTGATAAGATATATTATGAATCTATATATTAACGAGAATTCTATGTATGCTATCGTATAAGGAATAGTTTCCGATATCAATGAAAAATGTTTGAAGAAGATACTTTTATCATATTTCTATTAGGGAAAAAAAAGTCTAAACTGAGTACGATTTTTATCGTTATTTACATCTAGAATTTGCTGATCAGTAGTAAATATTGTTAAAAGATCAGCACCGGCTTGAATGGCATCAGCAATTAAACGTTTTCCTTCAAGTAAAACGTAACCTTTTTTATAACGTTCTTGTCGATTTTTTGCTTTAATTATGCGATTACTAAGATTAAGAAAAAAAAGATAAAGTTATGAACTTATAAATATATATTATCTTTACCTAAATCGAATATCGTTATCTTTTAATTGAATAATATTTTGTAGCGGATTTTTTATTGTCGCTATTTGATCAAGAAAAGCTGGATCTTTCGATGGATCTTCACGAAGTGGATCAAAACGATTATATATTGCTTCCAAATTTTCATTTGAAAGTATCTTGGCTAAATATATATATATGTATTCCAGTTATATTGATGCTTAAAAATTTATTAAAATCCATCCTGCCTGCTTTGTCACCCAATTTTTTTATTTGTGCTATTGGATTGACAGTATTCTTGCGTTGTTTTGTATTTCCATCATTTCGAACTATTTTTCGTGAGCGAATTTCTGTTGCATGACGAATTATTATCGATGAAGGATGCTTCGGAGTAATCAATCGTGTTTGTTTTGATAATGTCAAATGTGATAATAGGATACGATTATATCGAATAAGAGACATTTAGATCTAAAGTGGTCAAAAAAATGAATGTAAAGTAAATAAATAACAAAAAAGATGATTCATCGACAACATGAAAAGAATATCAGTTAATGTTAATGGACGAATAGAAAATATATGAGATGATATATGATCTTGACCAGTCTCTCCCTCTGTCGACAAATGAAAAAAAAATGAACAGAATAAATATATAAAACATGTTTATCAAGATATGTGTCTTTTATCATAAAAATATCTACGAAGAATATTTAAGAAAAAAAGAAATATTAACATACCACAAAGTACTACGACATTAGAAAGATAAAAACAATAAAAAAATCTTTATTTATAAGAAATTACTAACTGTCTACGATAAGTACATATCTATCCTACATATTTTCTCGTATTATCCCTATTGAAATGATTGATCGTCTTGTTATGATCGTCAAATAGTGTCATCAAAAAAAAAATTCTCGTGAATAAACGTTTATTATAGAAAGTTTACGGACAGTATACCAGATGGATATTATTGCCTATTTATTTTTATTTCCTTTTCCTACAATAGAACAAGTTTTGATAATGTTTCATCATATTGATTTACTTATTAAATAGCATACCATTGAGTCAATATTTAATAAATAATTATTATTAGTTTAAATATGATTGTCAGCTATGTTAACCGATATCATTATATAAAAACTTCTTTTTATATGAGCTACTTTGAAAGGAATATTTTTTTAGAAAAGACTATTATTTTTTCAAGTTTTTAATCATCGATAATTTTATTTCCGATTTTATTCGAACGATATTTTTAGTGTATAATGTTTGATTTAGACTGTTTTTTTTACATGTCGCACGCTCTAGATGTTACCTGTTATTAGGCGAAACACTTTATCTCATAAACAGAATTCTTCTCTACCAATTTATTATCAACAGTTATACTGAAAGAAAAGAAGCATTATATTTATTATACTCGAAAACATCATTAAACATCTTTTTTAGGTATTGTAATTCGTTAATAAGAAACATGTTATATAGTTGAAATGTACTGCGAACATCATTTTAAGAATTTGAAGATAATTCTTTATTAAATATTTACACTAAAATAGGATAGATTTAATCATCTTGTGTACTTATACTTACAGGCGTTATATAAATATTATATTAATCGTTGTTCGACATGATCGAAAGATAGCATCTTAGAATTCACATCATTGTACAGTTAAAGAGAATTCAATCCATTAACTTTAATACAGTTTCAACGAGTAAAATAGCGTTCAATCGTAACAAGATATTTCAATGAAACCTTAAAAGAGAATCTAATTAGAAATGGTAAATAAAACCATTAGGATTCATCTAATATAGCCACATAATTATGAAGAAATTAACGATATTTTTAAGATTCACTTTCTTATTCCATATATTATGGATTTTCAAAAGGAGACAACTATGATCAGACATATTATAGCCATTTGTTTTATCTTTCATAAATCAAAACTTAACAGATTATATTATGATATACAAAAAACCTTTTTGAAATTATTTTGTTATAGACCAAATAAAAACCTAATATATTTCTTAATTATTAAACACATATATCGCACACACACATATTTCAATTTCGATGAATGATAGAATAAAGTAAATTTCATCTTCATCATGCTCACAGCGATATACAAGAGGAAAAGAATAGAAGAAAATAGGAAAAAGAATATCTAAGATATACAATACAAATACACACATATACGTTAAGAGAACGAAACAGATGCATTAGAAAAGACAATTTTCAGTTATATATTTATATATAATATTGACAATTATTGATTTGAATTAACACGACTACGTAATTTATATCGTCGTTTAGGAGTTTGTTTTCTCATAGCTAATGTTGATTTTTGTAACATTACAATAGGACTATTTGGTAATTTTATTGGTGAGGAAGGACCACATGTCGTGCCTGCTGAATTCGTTTTTAATTGATTAATAATACGATTTGATGCTTTGAAATACAATAAAAATTAGAATGTGTTTAGTTTGAATGAGAATAGATATCTTACGTGGTGTATGTCGAAAAAATGATTGAATACGTTGAATCGCAGATGGTTTTGGACTCATTGTACTTTGAATTGCTGGTGAAACTAACGAAGGTGGTTGTAGATCAACAGGTGATGTTGTTGGTTCAGTACCTAATTTAGATATTACCATTGGAGAATCTGCACTATTTGATGGTACCAATGGTCGTTTTTTTAAAATTGATGCACTCTTAGTTTTAGCTATTAAAATTAAAAGATATAGATATACAATAAAGTTGTACTATTCTATTAGAATTACCATCTTTGACAAGAGTTGATGGTGTTGGTTTACGTTCATCATCCGGCTGTAAGAAAAAATAAATGAAATCAATTCATACTTAATTCTAAAACATTTTTCTGAATATTCTACGAGAAAATCCAGATAAGTCTGGGAAACTGCTGATTTTTCAAGTAAATATATATCGATTTGCATAACACTTTTTGTTATTAAAATAAAATCTTACATTAGTTTTTGACGGTATTCTTCTAGTACTAGGTTTACTAGCCAAGCCACTATTTCCTGCTGGTCGATCAGGTGTGCCATGTTTAGGTTTCTTGTTATCTTGTGCATCCTATATAAAATCGAAGGAATTTAAATAAAAAAGAGAAGCAAAGTATTGCCACCTCTTCATGAGCACTTCTTTTCGATCGCAGTAATCGTGTTGTCGTTGTTGCTGCTGCTGCAGCTGTTGTTGTTGCCGTTGCTGCTGCTGCTGTTGTCGGTGGCGGTGGTGGTGGATGTGATGATGATTCAATAATAATAATAGGTTCTTTCGTTTTTTCTTCACGTACTTGAAGTAATTCAACTTGTAATGTATCATATTTTGAATGAATATTTTTTAAATCTTGTTTTAATTGAATTAATTCTTGTTGAATTTTTTCATTTTGATTTTGTTCAAAACGAATTTTTTCATTTAATTGTTCAATTACTTTATCTTTTTGATTTTTTTCATCTTTTTCTTGTTCATAATCATGTTTTAAACGTTTTATTTCTTCATTATAAGACGTTTTTTCATTAAATTGACTTTGTTCATATTGACGATTTTGTTCAATTGTTGTATTATATTCCGTACTTAAACAATCAAATTTTTGTTGTACATTTTTCAAACGTGAACGTAATGTATCATTATCATGATTTGTTTGTTGAGTTTTTTTATATAAATCATTATATTTTTTTTCATATTCATTAGATTTTGCTTGAATAAGTTTCGAATTTTCTTGTTCGGAAACAATTGTTTTATTGAGTGAATCAATTTGTTGATTGAACTAAATTTTACAAAAAGAAAATATAGGGGAGTATAAATAGAATTTCTAAATTTACCGATTGTTTTTCATTGTTAAATTCAGCAATCTGTTCTCGTTGATGAAGAATATATTCAATAGCTTTTGTACGTTCTTGACTAGAAGCAAAAAACATGATGAAAGATTACGAAAAAATAAAGAATCAAAACAAACTGTCGTTCGATGAGATATAATCGACGATTTGATGCTTGTTTTTGTAAAAGTTCCATAGCTTTTTTTGTACAATATTTCCAATAATGTACCTATGAATGAAGATTTATTAATATCGATGCTAGAAGTGGATACAACACGAATGTCTCAAGAATAGTAATAGTTAGTAACCTGCAGTTTTCATCAGTTGAAAGAGACTGAGTCGAAACGTCTTTTTCTTATCAATGCTAGTTTACTGAGAGAACGACTGACTCAATAAGACCTTACCGATTGTATATCACTTGGTAAATCTGATTCATCCACCATTATACCTATAATAAAAAGGCATTCCATATGAACTATTATTCTTTCGTATGTAAAATTCTTACCATCTTGATCTTCACCTTCATCACCATCACCCATTTGATGTTTCTTTTTCCCTAAACCAATTCCACGTACACCTTGTCCTAATCGTTTAGGTCCTTTAATTTTTGATTCTACTACGACTTTCTTTTGTGGTGCTTCCATTGGTACAATAACTGTCTATAAAAAACATCAAAATAAAATATTCTCTCTTCTATTTTTGTCAATACATACTTTTTGTGCAAGAGCACTAAATTTTAACAAATCATTTGTTTGTGAAATAAATGTAGCACATGGATTAACATTACAACAAATAATAGTTCGTCCACGACCAATAAAAAAAGGTCGAAATATACTTGTTAATACACTATTACGATAAGGTAATAACATTTGTTTCCTACAAAAATACAACTTTCATTTATCCTTTTAATTAGAAATTTTAAAACTCATACTTAGCTGTTTGATTTTCATTTAACACACGAATACAATCTTTAAATGTCATTAACGATGTATTGATATTACATGTTTCAGCTAATTGTTTTCCTGTACCAGTTGATGGTTCATTTCCAGCCAAATCACATATATCTATAAGAGATTAAAAAAATATAATTTCGTTATTTTTTTAATCTTTGAAATCAACTTACACATATGACTCATTGTTGGTTCTTCTTCAAATTCATCAAATGTAATTAATGTAATACAAAGTACAGCATGTGAACGTGATGATGCTTCATTTAATTCTGTTTTTGATGTTGCACGATTTGAATAACCAAATCGTATTGTATCTTCAGCTTCTTTTAAATCAAAAACAGGAATTTGTACAAGATCTTTTATAACAGTTGATTCACTATTTTGCATTAAACGTAATGGTTTACGTTTTTTCATTGCACTTGGTTTAACAAGTAAATCAAAAACACTTTCATTATATAATTCAAAAAATGATATCCATATTGAATAATGTTCATCTAAGAAATTTTTTTTGTACAATAAATAAATGAAAGAAGAAAAACACGTTTTGTTTTACCTTCAACTGAATGATCATCAAGAATAGATTGTTGATCTTGAATTATATTTTGTAAATGATTTCGACGCTAAATTGTTAGGAAAAGAATTTTTTATTCAAAGAAATAAAAGAGGCAAATGATATGTATACATACATGATCATCTTTGTCATCTTTAAATATATATTTACGATAATTAATTTCATCTTGAAGATTATTCATATTTGTTTGTACTAAATTTTCTAAACCATCAGGTTTATATAAAACTTTTGTATCAATATTATAACCAACATGTAAAAATATACGTTGTAAACATTGAGGAATAAGACCAGGATCTTTTGGTGTACCAAACATTGTATGAGTTTTACCTTAATATAAAGATTAGTTTTAAACTCATAAAGTTTTACATATTATTCAAACATTTTCGAAAATCTCAGAAAATTATGTAGATTGTGTTAGTCATTGATAAAAGGAAGTATGTATATAGAATTGACCTTCTCGATCAATAAATTTGTGTTAGATTACATCTTGAAATAATCTAATATATACTATTTCGAATCCTTACCACTATTTGTAAGACCCAATGTACATAAAAGCCAATTTGAACCAGTAAATATTTCATCAGTAGGTTGTTCAAGAATTTGTTCGAATAGTTCTTGTTGTGTACAATTATGATCAAATATTCTCGTTACCTATTGGTATTGAAGAAAAACTCTTTTTTTTGTTGTCATTTAATTTCAAAGTTTTCAAACCTCATATTCATTGTAAGATGTTTGTGCTGGTCGAATATTATTTGTTGCTGTTGGATAAAGTTTCACCGCTATACGTCTTTCGTCACGAATGCAAAGCATATTTTGATTTTCCCCACGATTAAGTTCATCGCCAATAAATGGTCGAATACGAACATAAACATTAACTGGTGGTTCCACACGACGAATATTCGTGGTTTCATTAGGATTTCCTATTGTTGTCGTATCTGTCGACATCTAGAAAAACAAAACAAAACAAAAAGATGGGAAAATAAAATAAAAAATTCCATCATTTATTGAAATGTTTAAACAAAAGATACTAAAAGAGAAAATGAACTAGACTCGTCCATCTTCGTCTTTTACAAATTGTGCTAGTATGATTTTTCTTTCTTCCTTTTCTCGATTATCGCTATTGTTTATACGAGAAAAAATCGAATGATATACGACATCTGTTTGATGAATATAACTAAGTGAAATTATATTTTCTCAGCGCCTAGAATTAACTTCTTTTTTTTACATTGAAATGAATTATAGTTGTGCAATAGATCCCAATAGGTTACTTAAATATCCTCGTGAACGAATTATCTCAGTACAAGAGCAACAAAAAACTAGAGAAGAAGTTCTACCAGGTATTAAATGTAAATCTAACTATTCCGTATGATTTCATATTTAAATTATGAGAAAGAAAAATAAATGAACTGTTTATATATAAATAGGATAAATGCTATGCAGGTATTAGATAATTTTGATTTCAGATAATAGAAGTTACTTTTTTTTGATTAGAATATAATCTAAATAGTCTTCGACGAGGATTTGGTCAACTAAACGATATTCAATATGAAACAGTAAAATTAGGCAAACCATCTCTAGTTATACATTCATCAACATTAGAAAAAAATGAAAATGATATTGTTACATTTACAAATTATGTACTCAATGAACTTGCTAAAACTGAATTAAGGAAACGATTTGCTATTGTTCATACAGAAAAATATATTTATATCGTTGGTGGTGTGTAATAATATTCAATAAAGATATGAAATTATCATCTTTTTTATCTGTAGGTTATATTTATGATCCTCAGATTCCAGTACGAAGAAAAGCTCTGCAGTTAGTGATTGTTTTTGTACTAATCAATAATCGAAATGAAGCGATTATTATTTAGCGATTACAAGTACGATATACAAACGAGTAAATTAATACCTATACAAGCATTACCAAACGCAGTAAGTTATATAAAAGTTTTTAAATGTAATATAGAAATTTTTTAGGCTATTTGCTTTGGATTGTGCTGTGATGAAAATTATATTTATGCGAGTATGAAAGAATATGAAAATATGCTTTTTCATGTTTTTTGTAGTTGGAGGAAATACTCTTGATAATAAAGTACTAACTGATTGTTATGGTTTGATGTTGAAGAATTCTAATGAAACATGGATAAAACTACCTGATCTTCCAGTAAAAATTCTACGAAAACATTCAATCTGTATTATTTTATATAGGCACCAACAAGTGGACCTGGAGTAGGTGTACATAATAATATATTGCATTGTATTGGAGGTGAATTATAATCATTGTTCTTTTTTTATGAATATTTCCTTTCTTCTTCTCAGGATATGATATTCTTGGAAATAAATCAATCGCTCATGGTGAATATCTTACACTTCGATATCCACAAGATAAACAATGGCGATATGTTTCTCAAATCGATACTGTTCGTGCTCTACCATTAGTTTTTATTATTCCAGGTAATTCAATTAATGAACAAAATGTATACGTTGCAGGTGGTTTCAATGTTAATTCACATACTCATAAAACATATATTGTACCTGATCTTCAAGTATTTAATCAAATAACTCAACGTTGGCAACGTGTTACAGCAATTCCTGATTTAGAACTATCACATGCATTGTCATTTAATAATGATAAATTACATATTAGTGAAATAATTGAATTACCTAATGAATTACCAATGACAAATATTTTACGTAGTTTTGATCTTCAAAAACTTATTTGGACCAATGGAAAAGATAATAATGATAACAAAAGAATAAAGATACCAGAGAAACCATTACAGTCATCATCTAATCTTTCATCGGATGTAAAAAAAATACCAAATATACTTGCTAAAACAAAGATATCAACATTAAAGTTTGCTACATTTTTTAAATCTATTTTGTAAATGAATTCTTTAAATATTTTTATAGAAAAAAACATTCAAAAACACGGCAAAATAATATCAAATAAGACCTTGATTAGATATGATACTCTATTATAAACAGTTAACATTTTTTCGAGACTAAATAATTGGGACACATTTAGAATAAAGTAATATAAAACTTTTGAATTGAATCATTCTTTTTATTTCTCTAATTAACTAGATACCAATGGAAACTAAACAATATCACACTAATCAAAAAAAAAAAGATCTATTACGTCGTAACAAGTTGACAAAAAAATTCTCGTTCACTAATTTTGTATCTTTTTCGATATTTTTAAATAAATTATGACGACGTCAAATGAATCATATTAATCTAGAAAAAAAAGTATATTTTATTAATAGAAAATCTACAAAAGAATATTTTATTTAAAAATGAAAAGAACTTTCTATAAATTATTCAACATTACTGACAAATAAAAAACCCACACGTCGGATTCAATAATCTATTGGATATATGATTAAAACAAAAAAAAGAAAATTTATTTTTACGGTTTATATATAAATAGGTTTCTATTTATGTATTTTTCATTTGATGCCGTCATTATTCTATCAACCTCGTACTAATTATTAGATAAATATTCAATATTTCATTTCTCCGACATATATGTAGGCGACGATTGGCATGTATGCATATAATATAGAAATTGTCTTTTTATAAAAAAAAAAGAACGAGACAATAGACTATCAATTACTCTACGAAGATATTCTCATTCCTATAAAAAAAATACTTCGGATAATACCATGCACAACTTAAATGGTAAATAATTCAATTAAAATTTTAAGAATTTAATTTGCTTTTTTCTTATTTAGTTTTCCTTTTTCTTCTTACTGTAATATTAATTCAAACAATTTTATCATTTGAAATAATAAATAATGAAATAGACTATGTTCCATCATTACCAACAGATACTAATCCTAATTGTTTATCGAAAGATCTTCTTTCAAGTGTATTACATCGTAATCGACGAGCATCAATATCTCGTCCTTATTTTCATCCTCGGGCCGGATCTCGTGATGATAATAATCGTCAAGGATCAAAAAGTGTTTTAGCATTTTCACCTCGTTTAGGTAAACGATCATATAATGATGAAAATGAATTTAATAATTTTATTGATTATTTACAAAAGAAACAAATTGATGTTGTTTATGAAGATCAAACAAAAATTTGTTTTTCACAAATTATTAGTGATACATTTATTCAAGATGCTTTGAATAAATTTCATACAAATCAATACGAACAAAATCTAGAAGAACAACGATTCAAAAACAAATATCCACTTCTATTCCGATATTATTCTGATTAATAAAAAGAAACGAAAGTTTTGTTTTTTTCTCTCTTGCATTCATAATAAATTAAATATCAAGAAAAATTACAAGTCTTGTTTTTTTTCATCAAAGAATTTTTAAAAATATACTCACAAGACAAGAAAAAAATTTGAAGTTTTCTTTTTATGTGATATCATTAGAAAGAAAAGGTAATAAAAGGTTGTCGTGTTCGATATTTCATCGATGAGTTTTTATAGCAGAAAGGTAAAGTTTCTATTAGATTAAGAAATAAATAGAAGTTTTTTTTGCCAATGATTACACCCTGGTTAAATCAAGAAAATTTCACGACTACTAATTTGATATAGAACTTATTAATCTAGAGATAATGGTGAGTGTTATATGTTTTGCATATTTTTATAGGTATCAGAAATCGCTGAGTAGTATTAATTATTATTGATGAGTTTGATAATGAGAATCGATTGCATATCATAGTTTTTAATTATGTAAAAAGCATTACGGGGAATTTTGTTTGACAAATTAATATAGTGAAAAAAAGTAATCTTTTAAAAATGTATGTTCTCATTTTATAAATTATATTTCCGGTATTCTGAATTCTTTCATTTACTTCGTTTCATATGAATTATTAATTAAAGAAAAAGTTTAATTAAATAACAATCGATATTTTATTCGGTATAAAATGATCTAACATTCATTCTAAAATAAATATATACAAAAGCGCCATTGATGATGTCGCCATCACTAGAATAGAAGAACAGAGGCTGCTGCTTAGTCAACAGCATCTTTCAATGACGAGTAAGCTTTTCGTTTTGAGATATTTGATTTTATTCGTTTTTTGACCTATCACAAGGTAAAGTAAATAAAATATTTTATTTCTAAGGTATTCATTTAATAGAACGAATAGTAAAGTGGATTTTTTTTTATATCGATTTCTTTAGATAACACGCAACATCGCGTGACATTTTAAAATATTTATTAATTATTAAATTTCTATTGCAAAATATCAGGAAATCAAATGTTATCAGATACAATACCAACATCCAGAAATAATATTAATGAAAATTATACAAATAATCAATTGTCCATATCACCAGATGATAAAGAATTAAATGAACATGACCGAGCACGTATAAAAGAATTTGGTCAATTATTTAATCGACATAGTTCAATAAATCGAGAATTACTTGAAGAACTTTTTCGTAAAGAACCATCTGAGTATACACCAACAGTTTATCGTTATGCAAGTCGAATATATCATTGTTTAAAAGAAGATCAAATAAATCCTGTTTTAAAAGCATTATCAAATACAAAAGAAGAACAAGTACAAGCTAAAAAAACTACACTTGATGTACCAAAAATTGATTACGCAAGTGATAAACAAAAACGACGTACACTCAAATTAGCTTTTTCTGTTTTACGATGTAAGTAAATATATTTTATAAATTCTATAGTGTTATAAACTAGAAATTTTCTCTTAATGATTGAGCTAAAATTTCACAAACAAAACTTTGTAACATAGTCATTTTGTTTATCATCATGACTAAAGATAAAATTTATTACGTATTTATTTAATTTGTATAAAGAACGTAAACGAGAAGTTTTGAAAACATGATTGTTACATTTTATAATAATAATTAACGTGTATCAAATTTTTGAGAATCAATATTGAAAATGTGTTAAAGATCTGATTTAAACAGAGAAAAAACATGTTATGTACATAGTTAATCAAAGCGTATATTTTTAATAATCAATTTCTTATCATTTCGATAAAATTGAATATTATTTCACATGTTTATTTAGATCAAAAAATAATTGAAGAACTTTTAGACGAAACTCAATTTTTTTCAAATTATCCTGAAGTAAATCTTTGTTTTTGAATTATTTTATGTATTTAAATGAAATATCTTGATACCTTTTAGATAAAAGATGAGTTAAGTCTTGTTTCAACTATTCTTTATGATTATTTAAGTCGTAAATTTCAACCACGTGATGATCCTATTGATGTTGATGATAAAGAAGATTTAACAAATAATGATGAATTAGTTTCACATATTGAAACAGCTATTTTACAAGAACGAACTCGACTTGCTGCAGCTTTAGCTCGTAATAGGTACAAATAAATATTTTTAAGACAAAAAAAAACTTAAAAAAAATCTTTTAGAATTAAATCTCAAGCATTATCAATTGAAGATTTATTACCTGAAAATGTACGTGAAGTTCAACAACATTCAGCTGAATTACCAGTTTATGCTTGGGTTAATTTAATTAAAACTGAGTATATAAACAAAGTCGAAATTCTTTTTTTTCTAAGTCTTTTTAATTTTTATTATTAAGTATGGAAACTATTCTAAACGTTTTTGAAAATGATGAACAAATGAAACGTGCTAAAAATTCAACTCATATAGATAAACGAACATTCTATGTTGATTATCATTGTTCAAATTTACTTGTATTTCATTATACGCAAAAACAACGTATTGCTAATCATTATCTTGTTCGAGATCATCTGTTATATTTACAAGATAAATCAAGTTGTATTGCAGCACATTCACTAAGAAAATTAATAACAAGAAAAGATAATATTTGTTTAGCATATGTTAGTGGAGGTATGTTAAAAATATTGTGAAAATATAAACAAAAAAATAAATTCTTTTTGTTTTTATTATTAAGGTTTATTTCTTCAATTATTACTTGTACTTACAGATGACCTTGAATCAAAAATTTATGCCTTTGGTGCTCGTTCGGATGAAAATATTCGAGACATTCAAGCTAAAATAAAATCATTAGGAGCTTCAGAAAAACGTAAGTTATTTTATAATAATAATAAATCAATCGATTGATGTTGAATGAATATTATATATAGGTGTAAAAATATTTAAAGATCGTTTTATTGATATTAACTTTGATGAAGTTAATATGGAAAATTGTAAAGTTATTTTATGTAATCCACCTGATTCTCGTTCTGCTCTTATACAACCACTTGACTTTTTATATAATGAAGGCGAAGGTTTGATAATAATTTAAATTTAATTTTTCCTAATTTTATTCGTTTTCTAGATGTAACTTTACTTAAACAATTTTCTCAACCAACAGAAAATAAAGGTTATGTTAGAGAATGTATACAACGTGAATCAGCTTATATGCGACAAGCAGTTCGATGTAAGTATTGAAAAAGAAACATATGAATAAAACTTTCAAATGATGTATGATATTTAGATAATTTAGCAAAAGCGATTGTTTATGTAACATTTTCAAAAAATCGATCTGAAAATGATGATATTGTTCATGCAACAATTAACGAACAAAGTGAAAATCGTACACAACAAAGAAAAGATATTGGTAGTTACAAGTAAGATGATGGTGAAATCTAAACTATCATGAGACCGTCCTAATTTCGATGAAGTTAATAACATATACTTTTCTTATTAATATGATCATCAGTTGAAATATTTCGGAAGAATTAATGACATTTATTTCTAGAATATCACCACCGGTCCTTCCAATTCAATTTGGTGGTCGAAATGAACATATGTCTGTTCTTCGTCAGGGAATTTTTATACAATTTGAATCATCACAAAAAATGAATGGTGTTTTTGTTGCTGTTTTAATACGTGAAGTAAGATTTCTATACTCGGGAAAAAAAAGAATCTATTAATATATGTATATATCTTAAACTATTCTAGCGAGAAAGACGTCGTTCAAATATACTGAAAAAGAAGACTGATGATCATGATTCTGATGTTGATAATGAGAATAAATCAAAAAAAGATCGACAAGGTTTTCAATTTGAAACTGAAGCACGTGCTACTCAACGTCGACAACATCAACAACCACAAACAGTTAAAACTCAGCGTAAAAGTATAACAACAACATCACCTAATCGACGTTCAAAATCAACTGCAGCAATAACACGTGATATCGCTCATACATCATCAACAACACAATTTGAATCAAAATCTATTCAACAGACTGAACCAGTTCATACTGAACCGAAACCATTGACACTTTCAGAACGATTAGCATCAATTGGACGTATTACAAGTACATTAAATACAACTGATGATGACACGCCAATAGAACACGAGTCTGTACAAACAAAAAAATAAACTTTTATTTGTTTCTTTTCTTCTTTTTTTTGTTTTGTTTTTTTGCTTATTGTCATCTCATTGAGCTATTTGTATAGTCAAGCTTTGCACGATAAATTTTCTTTTTGTTTGTGAATTTTCTATTCTTGCTTTCTATGGACGACTCTAGAGCTTAATTAAACATTTCTTTTTTTCACTTTCATATTAAATTGTTAAAATATGCTATCAATGATAATCTCAAATAAAAAAAAACGATAAATTACTTCATCTGATCAAGAAAAATAAAATATATTTTTTCTAGTCTTACTCAGTACTTACAACAACGAAATCAATTTAATTTACAATTTCAACGGTGTGTCATTTTCGTATTTTTATAAATTTTTCTCCTTTCTAAAACAAAAAAATAATCAATTAGGTCAAGAGATTCTCATGATCTACCTTTTCAATCCTTAAATTGCCATCTGAATACTACAAATTATAAAACTGAGAAAGTTTTACAACCATCATTATCTAATATTTCTATTCTTCATGTCATACCCACATTCTCTTCAAACAATGAAGTTCATGAAATTACTCGACAATATTCATATCGAGAATCATTAACAAAACGTTATCGAAATAATCATACACATCAAAATATTCCTATAAAACAATGCAAGTTAGCATATAACAAGACACTCATTTTATTTCTTTACTTGTCTTTTTTTTCATATAGAATTAATTTAGAAAATTCCAAAGAAGTTCTACAACGTTGTCGAAGTTGTAAACTTAGTTATCAATCTGTATGCAAGCATTATGACAATGAAATTAATATTGATTATTTTATTCAAAGAATTAAATTGAAATCAAGTATTCAAGAACGAATACGAAAAAAAATTTAATAAATAAAAATTTTATTTTTTTCTTAAAACATCTGTAAATAATAATAAAAAGAGATATAGAAATCATATTTCGATACAACATGAAACAGATTTTTTTTCTCTTAAAACTATGTCAATAATGATTAATTATCGATTTAATCTATCCTATGAATAACCAATAGGAAATCTTTTATTATTTAATAAATACGATAGATCTTTCATCATGAAAACATTGCTTTCTTTTTCTATACAATAGAATTTCATTGTTAATGAGTTAATTTAAAACGTGACACATTTCGTTGTTGCTCGATTTTATTTCATAACCAAACGATTTTGTCTTATAGCACGTATACTAATTATCAAAAGAAAGAGTGAAACTACACACCTGCTTGCTTTTGTCAATGATCCTAATTGACACATCATGTGCCTTAAGCCAACAATCATTAGTGTATATATATATATATATTCTCTATTGAACAATCCCACCCACACCTGTATGTATATAAATAAATTTGTTTGTTTGATGCCACAGCATTAAAGAAAAAGAAAAAAAAATGCGGAAATCATTTAGTTTATTCTCACACCTACATGTTTCATTTTTTTCTGTAAAGAAGAAGAAACACACACACAAGAAAAAAGAAAACAAAATGGCTATACGTTTTACAAGTACATATAAGCAAATAATTAAATTGTTTTTTAAAGTTTTTATTCTATCGCTTTCCCTCTATCTCTCTCGCGCTCTCTCTCTGAATAAATCCTTTATTGTACAACACCAACAGCAGGTGTTGATTTTGATGATGGTAAATCATGTTGTTTAGTTGTATGTTCATGTGCTTTAAGTCGAAGTGTAGCTATACTACTTGATCGACGATTTTCATCGATATCAGGACGTGTAACAAAACTTGTTATTGATGATGTTTGTTGTTCAGATGATGTTTCATTTGAACTACTTATTGAACGTTTACGTTTTTTACTTGGTGGTGATGATGTTGTGCTATTACTGCTAGTCGTATTAGTATGATTACTGTTCGTATCATTATTCGGAAGTTTTGTTTCAATCATTGGTTCTTTTTCATTTTCACAAGATGTTGTTGATACCAATGATGCAGCAGCCATTTGTGCTAATTGTTGTAGAATAGCTATATTTGGATATGTTGTACCAAGTTGATTTGTTGAAGGCCAGAATGGTGATGTTGATGGAAACATAGGTAAACATGTTGCTGTTGCATTAAGAAATGATGATGTTAATGATGAATAAGATGATAAGATTTCTGCTGGAGAAAATGAACTAAAACGAGTTAGAAGACTTGCTGGTGGTGCAAATAATGGATGGGAATGAGTATTTGGAAGTAATGGATGTGCTGATGATGTTGTTGATGAATTTAATACACATGATGGATTCATTTTTTCACGTTTTCGCCATTTAGCACGACGATTTTGAAACCATACTTGTACACGTGCTTCTGTTAGATCAATACGCATAGCTAATTCTTCTCTGAATAATAAAAATAAAACAATAAAATTATATAGAATTGTTTCGAAATTAATTTATCATAACAAAAAGATTAAATAAGAATACTTTGCATAATAAGCTTGATAATCTGATGATTCAGATTCTTTTCTTTTTCAATCAATTCAAAACGTGTGTAAACAAGTGTAGAAAACATCAACACCTGATTTATCCCTTTTTTTGTATTAATACGATGTGATGATTCTTTATTTCTCTTTCTTTTCATTTAATCTATTGTATTCATTTTTATCACAGAAGTATGTGAAAGAGTATTTCTTTAAACAAATAAAACTCATCAAAACGATCATAGGTGTCTAATCGAAGTTTATCACCAAAACAATCTCTCGCTTATTCGTGTGATAAGTGTCTATAACAACAATTTCCAACTGTGACACGATGAAATACATATATATATAAGTGTTGACATAGGTATTTATTAAATGATTGGTTGATGAGGAAGAAATAAGTCGGTATAGACAAACATCATTGCATAGAATTTTCTATTGGGGAGGTGCATGAAGCTCTCTTAACAATAAGTACCTCTACTTTTTTCTTCTTTTTTTCTCTTACTATACAGTTCATATAATTGTTAATCAAAGATAAGTGGCTGGAGAGAATATTGTGTATACAAGCAAGAGGAGGGAAAAATTTTTTTTTTCTAAATTCTCATAAGACAAGTAGCTGAGAGAGAGAGAGAGAGAGAGAGAGAGAGAGAGAGAGAGAGAGAGTAACTATTTCTATTTCGTTTAGTTTAAGTGATTGACGATTATTGAAGTAAACGGATGCCAAACAACTGCGCGAGTAACCAATTTTATGAAGAAAAAAAAATTGATTTGAATCGATCGATGCGTTCGTTGTTTCTTTTTTGAAAATGTTTGCATTCATTTTTCAAATATATTATAATAATAAAAAAAACATTACTAATGAGGTTTTCTTTTTACCAATATGCAAATAAAAAGAAATGTTTAATGATGTAATACTAGTTAAATTTGAAAATCAATCGAATCTTTTTTTACCTCATAAAAACATCTGGATAATGAGTACGTTGAAATGCTTTTTCTAATTCTTCTAATTGAAATGACGTAAATGTTGTTCTAGAAATTAATTTTTATACAAATTAATATATACATATATATTTAATATTTTTTACCTATAACGTCGTTGTTTTCGTTTGTGATTTTCATCATCACTATAACCACTCAAACTATCACTTTCTTCTTTTTCAATATTTTCTGATCCAATTGGTGCATTTGATGATATACCAACCATTTTTGTTAGACGATCTTTATCAGGACTAGTAACTAATTGTTGAGCGTAAAGATTCATTGAATGACGAGGATGTTGTGAATAAGCTTCATTTTTCCAGTTAATCTCGTGTCTCTCTTTATCGTGGCTATGTTTAATATCTGTCATCTTCTTCTTTTAACGATCAAACGAATGTGTATTTATGCTTCTCTTTCTCTCTTCCTTCCGAGAATATGTTAGTTAATTTTTATCGTGTCGAGACATATATGACAATCACTAGGTGCAAAATTGGCTTCGTGTCGATTGTAGGACAATTGATTGGTAGAGAACGAGAGAGAGAGAGAGAGAAGAGAAAAAATAACAAACCAGAAAAGAAGAGTATAGAAAATTCTTTCTTTTTTTTTACAATTGCCGTTGTCGTTTATGATTGGATGTATTATATTTAAATCAGAGGTAAAAGAAAAAGAAAAGATTTCTCTAGATTGATTTGTTGTTTACGTAGCTTAAGAAGAAAAGAAAGAGGAAACAGGCTTATTTTTTTTTGTTCGAAGAGAAGAAAAAAAGAAACACAGTTCTCTTGTCCAATTAAAAAGAAGATTGATGGCTTTCGATTAATATTATATATACCTATCGTCGGACATAAATAAACATATTAATCATTAAACTAATTAGAATGTAGTAAAATTGATTAAAATTAACTTTCATTTATAGAATATGATGATAAGCATAAGGATACGAAAGTTTTTTATTTTGTAAAAAACAATTAAACATTATTTGCCAGGTATTTTTTAGCTAAAAGAAATGTATAAGTATTTCTTCAAGCTACGTTCTATTTTCATTTTAAGAGTATCAATTTAAAATATTTATTTTGTTGATCTAGTTTTATGACGTCGTAAATATTTCTCATCTTATGATTAAAAACGCAAAAAAAAAGAGAGAAAACATGAAAATTATAAGTGAATAATTTCATTGTATTTCATATATATCTAATCATCATTAGTTTATATTTTGATTGCTATATGATGATATTGTTTGTACAATTCGACGCCCGATGATCAAACGTTTATATGTATACGAGCGCGCACTTATATACAATGTTATATTTCGTATAACGAAAAGGGAATTAGTATAATAGTGTAAACGGTTATGTATTTAGATACGATTCAATATTGTCTCGTCTCGTATGTTTGCATATGCGTTTGATCGTCATAATGAAGCACTTACCGTATGATTGACTTTATTTTTGCTAAAATAGATTCATGCAATCTATCTAACTTGATTGTTTTTCTTTTTTTAAAGAAATCACGTTCATAAACAATATTTATTAGTCAAATATGTTTGATCAATTTTTATGTATTAAAAGAAAAATAATTTTGAATTTATTTGATAAAAAAACAAAGATAGAGATTCATTCATATATATAAAGATCGATTAAAGACAAATAATTATATACTTAGATGTATTATAAATTTAGTAAGATGGATAAGAAATACTACAACAGTTTACTACTTATCTTGCAATAGTTTTAATACAATTGTTAAGAGCTCTTTTGAGAATCATTAAAATTTATAGAATGTCTTTTCGGTAAGGATTCTTCTGTATCGTATAAATAATAATTTTGCTCTTCTATCTGAGTAATGAGTCTTAAGAATGAATCAAAATTCCAATTGCTACAATAAATAAATAAATAAAATATATGGTCATTCAGTCAGTATTGGTGCAATATAAAGCAACCTTACAAATATACTATTAGAGTCTTATTAACAATCAATTATTTAAATAAGTAATAAAGATTTCTTATAATAAAATATTAGGATTTTTCGAAAGCAAATCTTGAGTTTGAAGAAAGTTTTTTTGTCTATTTTTTAATAAATCTTTTCAGATAGATGTTTAGTTCATTCATATAGGATATTAATAATAGTCAATCTATAATCCTGTGAATACATTACTGCTCTTTAGTGTCATCTATCTTACGAAATTTATTTGCAGAAGAATAAAATACAACACAAGAACAAAAACTTATGATTTATTACATTAGTATCACAATATTATTTTTTGATTTTATTGCTATGAAAATGTTTATCGCGCACATTGAGAATATCTTATTTTTTATTGGTATTTAAAACGACTAATAGTATGGATTTTAAATATTCGATGTGTGTGTGTATATGTGGTGTTGAATAATTTTATATTTTTGATAAAGTATCATTTTTTGTTTTTGTCAAATATCAAGAAGAATATCTCATGGATAATTCTTCGAAAAATCAAGCATCAGCATCAGCATCAGATGATCGCTTTCTTGGGGAATCAATGTTACGTCGAATAACAAATTTTGGTTTAGATCGAGATTCAAATAATACAAAACATTGGATGCCTGATAGTGCTGGTAAAAGATTAAAAATAAATTTATTTTTTCTCACAATTTATCTTTCTTCTCAAAAGAAAATCTTGATTTATGAATATATATATCTTATCAAAGGTTTAGAGTATGTTGGATAGATAATACAGAGATTATTCAAAAACTACCCAAATAATTGATATTTAATCAAGTAGATGCTTTTTTTTCCTAATCTTTTATTTTTTATTTTCAGGTAAAGAATGTTATGATTGTCAAGAAAAATTTACACCATGGCGTCGACGTCATCATTGTAAATAATTCCTTTTTTTTGTTATATTATAAATTCTTTATTTTATTTTTATTATATAGGTCGTGTATGTGGTCTTTTATTTTGTAATCGATGTTGTTCATATGAGCCTCAAGTTAAATTAGCTGGTTATAATGAATCAAATCTTCGTTTATGTTCTTATTGTTCAAAAACATTACTTAAATTACCTAAGAATGCAACATTACCAACAACATCAGTAAATCAACAATATATTTCATCAATATCTCCAATTGATCAACAACAGCAACAACAACAACAATTACAAACTCAAGATTTAAATGCATCAGATAGTACATTTAATCCCGATCATTTTTCTTTATCAAAAAAATCTAATGATCATTTATTTTCAACTGTTGATAATGACCAAACAACAAATACAAACGAACAAACTTCAACAGATTCGGAATCAAATCAAAAACATTCTCAACAACAATCTCAACAACGTACAAATACAAATTTTAATTTAAAAACATTATTCAATGAAATATTTCGTACATCACAAGGTTTACAAATGCAAAAACAACGTTATCGTTTTCGAACAATTGAATGTGTAACAGGAAAAGATATTGTTGATTGGTTAATTAAAAATCAACGTGCAACAGTTATATCTGAAGCAAAATTATTATGTCAATGTTTTCTTAATGAATTATATTTAGAACCTGTTATTTTGCCACCAACATCATTTGTTGAATTTAAATGTGATCTTACTTTATATAAATTCGGAAAAGTATGTTATAAAAAATAGTTAACTTATAATGATAAAAATGATGTTATTTTTAATTATAGCGTGGATTAGAACGTGAAACATTCAGTGAATCAAGTCCAATTCGAAGTGGAAGTATAATATCAACAACATCTAATGATTCAAATAATACTGGTAATTATTAGTAGAAATTTACTTTCATATGAATAATAGAAGTAAAGTTAGCCTTATGAAAGAATTTCTAGGTGTTATGAAGTAAAAAAAAGTTATGCAGATAATATTTAGTTGTTATCTGAGAAAATGATAAGAAGAACTGAAGATAAATTTAAAGTTTCACTATTAACTAAACAATTAGTCAATTTGATAGAGATTTTATTCATGAATCATGCTGTATTTTGTTTACTTTAGATTCATCTTTACAAAATAGAGCTAAATCAACTGGTGTTATAATTGGTAATGATCTTAATTATGTACAATTTAATTCACAAGTAGCAAATGCTATACAAGAAGATACAACATTTGTAAATAGTAAAAAAGAAGCAAGCGATTTTAATATGCCAGTTGATGAAAATGAACAAGGTATTTTTCTTTTTTCTTATCAGATTAAATCGATCAATAACTAATATTAATATGAAATAGAGAACTTCATATTTTGTTTTATTATATGACAACTCGTAAATGAATTTCAGTAGTATTCGGAAGATTTTATGGAAGCAGTATTCCCGTTGAACGGATCCGGATGGAACCGATTCGAGAGTGGAATTTTTCGGCAGGGCTCCTGCCGAAAACGGCGAGTTTTTTGAGGGTTTTCGCCAAAAAATCATGGAATACTGGTTCAGGAATCGTCGATCTGGGAAGTCTATATATGAAATTTTACAGGCAAAAGTTAGAAAATTTTCTAGAATATATTTAAAATACTATAGGATATTGAATAATCTAAACAAAAATATTTGTTTATTAGACAGTTCATGTAGTTATTTGTAATAAATCTATAGTCATTCAAAATGTAAAATATTGTTCTAAAGTATATATCGTTTTGAATTTTTCCAAAATTTCTAATTGATGTTTTAATTTAGTTGATGATACAGATGGAAATGCTACAGTTAAACAATCTTCACCATGTGATTCTATTTCATCATTATATAATGAATATGAAGAATTATTATTAAAACAAATTCTTATTCAATTTCATGTTGATCAAGAATGGTTTTCAATAATTTTAAATATATGTCGAACATTAGCTAAGAGAATTCATGTTTCATCAATAACGAATGATTCAACACCAAATAATGATATAAGACGTAATGTTAAATTTAAAAAATTACCTGGTGGTTTAAAAACTGAAAGTCAAATTATAAATGGTTGTGTATTTACTAAAAATGTTATTCATCGTAGTATGCCATCAAAAATTGATACACCACGTGTTTTATTACTTAAATCTCAAATAGAATATCAACGTAGTGATGATCATCGTTTAACAACACTTGAACCTGTACTTAATCAAGAACAACATTATCTTTATTCATATGTAGATAAAATAAATTTACATTTTAAACCAGATATTCTTGTTGTTGAAAAAAGTGTCAGCAGGTAAAGAAAAGATGTTTTTGTTCTTACAAAAATGAATTATTTATTTCTATAGGTTAGCGCAAGATTTCATCATATCAAATGGTCTTGTTTTAATTTATAATGTTAAAGAAAGTATCATGCAACGTTTGGCTAAATGTTTACGTACAACAATAATGACATCAATTGATAGTCGTCTTCCATCCCATATTCGACCACCATTAGGTCGTTGTGAACATTTTCAAATTAAAGAATATGAATTAAATGATAGTCATAAAAAACGTCTAATGTTTTTTGATGGTTGTCCACCTGAATATGGTTGTACAGTATTAATACGTGGTGGTACATTACAACAATTAAAAATTGTTAAATCTATAATGCGTCTATTTTTATTAATTACATATAGTACACAATTAGAACAATCGTTTTTAAATGATTGTTATGCACAAATAATTAATAATCAAAATGATTTATCAATAATAAAAAAATTTGATTTAGAACAATATATTGATTCAGTTGTAACAAATAAACAATCAATTATAGATTTAATAACAAATGGTCTTCTGTTATCAACATCACCTTATGTTCGATATAATCCTCCATATATTTTAACATGTACAACACAACAATATTTACCGAATGAATTACTTTATCAAAATATATATAATAATCGATATCAACAAAAAAAAGAAAATAGTATTAGTTCAAATGATGAAGATAAACAAATAAAAGATACAAATATATATAGTTGGTTTCATAATTCACCATATAATAATGAAATTATGCATGTACAAGATAAACACGATTTTATTAAAGATAATACACTTTTACCGGGAATTAATCAAGATACGAAAGTAAGATATCTAATATTAAAGAGAGTACAAAAATCTTTTTTTGTAGCAAGAGCTCTGTTAATTCTCTACAGTTGAAATCTTTATTATTATTAAAATCTATGATTTAATTCAATAATTCATTTTTAGGCTACATATGCTCATTATAGAGCATCAGGTGGACGATGTCATTTTCGTCGTCGTCGTTGGTATGATTGGTTAACTCTCTATCAACAACAACAACCTCGTGATCAACCATTAGAAACTATATTTGCACCATATCTTGATTTACGTCTTCATCTACAAATTGCAATATTATATAGTGCACATTGTACAGTTCAAAATAAATTACTTACATGTCGACAACCTGAAATTCTTGAAATGCCAGCATATTCAATTCATGATACAACATTAGGTTCATTTCTTGAACAACATTGTTTTTCAACAAATGATGCTCCATGTAAAACATGTCAACAACCATTACAAGATCATGTTCGACAGTAAATTTACTTCTTTTGTTTTTTTAATAGAATTAATTTTCACGTAATTATTTAATTAGAATTGTTCATGGTGATATGAAATTAGTTATTCGTATTAAACATATTGATAAAACAACATCAAATTTACAAAAACTTCCAACATCAAATGGTATTTATATGTGGAGTTATTGTGAACATTGTCGAGAAGTGAGTTTAAATTTGATTAAAGAAATGTTTTCAAAATCTGTTACTTTCAGTCATCAGCAAAACGTTTAATGTCTCCTCGTACATGGTCATTATCATTTACAAAATTTCTTGAATTATTATTTCATCTTGAATCATTTTGTGTATCATCAACACGTTCATGTCAACATCATTTATTTCGTGATCATTATCATTATTTTCATTCTCAACAATTTATCGCATCATTTCGTTTATTTAAAATACAATTGAAACAATTTAATTTACCAACATCAACAATAATACTTAAACCATTTATATATGAACGTGATTATTATATTGAATTAACCAAAACTTTATCTGTTAATGGTTATAATATATTTTCCACTATAGTTGAACGTTTAGTTGAATTTAAAAATCTGAGTGTCATACCCGATTTTTTTATATCAAAAATTGATCAATATTTAGCACAAGAAAGATTAGAACAACAAACATTTCGATCATTAATGGATGAAATTCAATTGAAAATGACAGCTGGAAGTGGTAGTAGTGAACACAAACGTCCTTTAGGTAATAATAGAATAAGTGTGGAGTAAATTTCTCTATAGAATTTTATATCTTCAGATGCAGCTAGTTATGTTTCTATTGATGATCAAATAGTTGAAGCAAAAAAATTTATTACAAAAATTGTTTATAGTTGGAATACAACTCTTCTTGAACTTGATCAATTTGTTAAAAAATATGAGAAACAACAACGTGATGCTTCAAAAAAAATTCCAATCAAAGCCATTCCATCAGGTGATACAAATAATGAAATGATAAATTCTCTACAAATTGATTCCGAAATTTCTAATATGCTTGAAATTCCATCTTCAACTACATCTCTTCATCCACCATTAACACCAATTGATAACGATGAAAATAATCTTGATAATAGTCTTAAACCAATAACATCAAATGACGATGAAATACCTCGTCGTAGTGGTGTATTAAAATTTTTTTCAACATTTTTACCAACATCTGAAAATGAATTTCTTCCATTAAAATCTCCATTTACTGATGATGAGCATTTACAATTATCTGGTAAATATATTGTTAATCATCGTGAATTAAGTTCGATAATAGCACATGCATTATCAATGTCTGAATATGATCAACGTTTAAATGAAGAATTATTATTACGTAATGAAACAAACTCCGAAGAAAATAATGACATAAAACAACAAGATGATGATAATGATAATTTCGGTGATGATCAACAACATGTTGAATTACATTTTCATGATTCATCAACAAAATTTACTGTTAAAATATTTTATGCAGCAAAATTTCATCTTTTACGTCAAATTATATTTTCTAATATTGATCAAACATCTTATATACGTTCATTATCACGTTGTAAAAAATGGCAACCACGTGGTGGTAAATCAAAATCAGAATTTTGGCAAACAAATGATGATTATTTTGTTTTAAAAGATCTTAATCAAAAAGAATCATTATCATTTTCAACATTTGCACCATCATATATTGATTATATATCAAATTCATTAAAATATAATCGTCCAACAACATTAACAAAAATTTTTGGTATCTATCATATACAATATCGTCATAATGCAACAGGTGAAAATTTTAAACGTGATATATTAGTATTAGAAAATTTATTAAATAATCCAAATATTTCTTTACCTCCAATAATATATGATTTAAAAGGTTCAATGAGAAATCGTTTAGTTACTGTTGATGAAGGACAAACAGATGCTGTTTTATTAGATGGAAATTTTTTAACACAAACACAAGAAAATCCATTTTATGTACGTTTACATACAAAATGGACATTAATGAAAGCATTATATGCTGATACACAATTTTTAGCTAAACATGGTATTGTTGATTATTCATTATTAACATTATGTTATAATGATGAACAACAATCAATTATTTATGCAGGTATTATTGATTATATAAGAACATATACATGGGATAAGAAATTAGAAACAATTGTTAAATCAATACATGGTGTAGGACAATCACCAACAGTGATATCACCTGAACATTATAGAACAAGATTTTTACGTCGAATGGATCAATATTTTCCTGTTGTACCTGATGAATGGCATGGATATGAAAAGAAATTTTTAGATTTATCATTATTCCAGACAGAAACAATGTCAGCGAATTTATATACTAATGAATTACCTACTCAATAGTTGAGATTATTTTTTTTTTCGTTTTCTATTTATTATCATATTTTTCTTTTTATTCAACTAACTATATATTGTACAAAACAAAAAAACCGTGATTGTTTATATAAATTAAAAATTAAAAAAAGCATATTTTTTTTAGATGAATCTCCCAGAGACTTTATTAAGTTCATTATCAATAAAATCTGATAATAATGAACCATCTATACCTTTATTACCAACACAAACACCACTTCCTAGTAATATGGGTGTTATACATGATAAACCTATTACTGATTTGGCTTTAAAAACGCCAATAAGTTTTCTTCAAGAAATATGTTTTCGTATTCATGCAACTCCAACTTATAGTTTATGTCCTAGTGAAGCACAATGTACATCAAGTGAACCTACATTCCTCTATCGAGTTCTTGTCGATGATATGATTGCATTTGGCAAAGGTAAATATATATATTTTGTTTTTACCAAAATAATATCAATTTATATTTTTAGGCTCAAGTAAAAAACGTGCAAAACATAAAGCAGCATGGGTTATGATTGAACAATGTTATGCGAAATTAAAATTAGCTAGTGATCCATTAATTAAAACTATTGAACAATATTTGTATGTAGAAAAAAACAACTTTTAGAATATTTTATTTTTAATTGAATTAAATATCTATAGTTTATTAAAACCACTACAGACTAGTCATACTAATGATGATTCAATAACAAATGGTGAAAAAAGTAATCCCATAGGTAAACTTCAAGAATTAACACAAAAGAATTGGATTCGACCACCTGAATATGAATTTTCTGATCAAGAGAATGTTTCTACACCAAATACAAAAATGTATTCATGTCATGCGAAAGTAGCGACATATATTGCAGAAGGTTAATAATTCATTGATTTTATAAAATACAATTTTAATCGTTTATATATTCAGGTACTGGCCTATCAAAGAAAATAGCTAAACGTCAAGCAGCTACCAATCTTCTTAATATCTTAGAAAATCTTGGACCTGAAGAAAAAAAAGCTTTACTTAATCGTGCTGAAGGTCAGGTTAGTAATATCATGAAAAATTATTTTTAAAATTATTCAAACAACATTCCTTTGACAGACATATTTTTAAATAAAATATCTCACTCATAGAATGATTCGGAACAATCACATTCAAAATTTCGTCGATCACGACGTAAACCTAATGATCCAAATGTAAGTTTTTTTCTATAGCATTTTTCTTCAAAACTTTTTTTCTCTTACTTTTAGTTACTTGATACAAGTGGTTTACGTGGTACAGGATCAGCTCGATCAAATCGTGTGTATGATAAAACATCATTTCAATTATTGAAAAATAGTGATTTACCTTATATTAACAAATTACTTTCGGATGATTATCATGAAGAATCTACACAACCCTATCAAATGTTTGAATCTCTTGCACAAGAACAAAATTTTACATTTGAATTTATTCAATTACCAACAATTGATGAAGGTTAAATGATTTTTCTTTTTATATTATAGTTCTTATTCAATGTAATATTTTATTTTAAAAAGGATCAATTCAATTATTACTTGAAGTTCGCCTTACTCCTGTTTCTGTTTTTCATGGTTATGGTAAAACATTAGAATTAGCTCGACAACATTCAACGAATTTAGCATTGAAATATATTCGATGTCTTTCTAAACAACAACAACAACAACAACATTCATCATCTATAATCACGACTACACCATTAATGCAATCGACCGCATAGGAAGATGACCTTTTTTTTTAATCAGATTCAAAAAAACGATAAAGTTCCTACTTTTAGTTAACTTCTTAAAATGTAAATATCGAACTGTGATATTTGTTTTTGTTTTAAACAAAAAGAAAAAAAAAGAAATAAAACTTCTAAACATCAACGATTTCACCATGAATTGTTCGTTTAATAGTTACAAATTGTTTAGTATTTATATATCCAACGGTTGTATGTTGAGTTGTAGTATTAATTGGAATATTTGCATGAAAATTTTTCAAAGTATTAAAACGTGTACCAATAATTTGATTCCGATCACGTACAGGAAGAATGATCGTTACTGAATATGTAGTTGGATTAAAATCATAAGTTTGATTAAGAGAATTATTTAAAGATGGTAATTCATTTGCTTGTATTTCTACATGTTTTTGTCCATAACGACGTCCACGATATTGATAAAATGGAACGGAATAGAATTCATAACGACCAAGTAAATTTGTATCAATCTGACGAAGATATTTATGACGATGTAGTAAATGAGATACACGATGTCGTACAGTACCACCGGCTGTTATTATTGATACTGCATCATCATCTTCTGTCATAGATGATGCTCTAGATGAACATCGATTTGTACCATTTGAGAATCTGTCACTCATAGATTTGATTGAACCATCTAATAAATAATCACTACTTCGAGCACGTTGTAAACCATTTTCATTTCGATTATCTTTATTCAATGGTAAACTATCCATACTACTTCGACGTGGACGATCAATACCATCCCATTGAATACATACATCACGTACAAGAATTGGTGGCTCACGTTCATGTGTTGCACCTTGTTGATAAATAATCATTTTACACATTAATGGTAAATGTGTTGATGCTCCACTTATATCAAATGTAATCATTTCAGCTACATCAAAATTATTTTTATCTGTACCAATCGATGGTACTTCCATTTCTTCATCAAATAAAGTTCTTTCATAACGATCATCTTGTTTCATTGTTGAATAACCATCTGTATAAAAAACTTGTCCAAATGATGGTACAAGAAATTTACTTGCATCTGATTTAAATGGTATTGCATTTAATGATAACGATGGTTTAGTTTGATGTTGAAGTAACTGTTCGTCATATTTCCAAAGTGTATATAAATCAATTGAATCTTGCACTGTTCCCATGTTATTCTATTGGAATGATTAAGTCAAAATCTGATCTGAATAAAAAATAAGCAAATGATATGTTAGATAAATACCATTATATAGATTTATTTTTCTTTTTTAGAATGAGAAAACCGCATTCTTTCTCGTCCTTCGTATTAACGAGTATAATATTTAGAAAAAATGATAATTCCGCATAGAAGAGCAAAGAAAAAAGTAAAAGAATGAAGGTCTGTCTATACACGTGTGTTCTCTTCTCAAATCTCCTGACATTCGATTCGTTTTTTATTGTTACACGTAGATATATACGTTTGTTTATTGACATAGACACTAACAGATATATATACATATATACGTCTTATCTCATTCTTGTATAAAGTGCTCAACTCTATTTCAAACTGTACACATGAAAGAAAAAGAAAAAACAAGACATTTGTTTTTATGTACCTATAGATTACATATTATTCAGATGAAAATCATAAAAAAATAAGAAGTATGTTTGATAAATAATTCTTTCTTCTTCTGCTCAATTAGCTCATGAACATATTTTATATACACTTGAATATTATGATATTGATATGTTTAATTCAGTTTGCATTTTTATGCATGTCTACCCACCTTATTGAATCATCAATTCTTCTATATTTATCATATGTAAATTAATCATGTAAAAAGAAAGAAAAGTATCCTCAACCTTTTGTTGTATATCATTTTAGTGAAGGAAGAGAGAGTAGGTAGAGAAAATGCGTAGATTAACAAATGTTGAAAAAACTTGAATGCTACATCTGTATATGATTAGAAAATTTATTTGATAAATTTAAATACTAATATTGATGAACATATGATCTTATTCATCCGTTATTGATTATTCTTTATTTAATACTTGTTCATATTTGAGATGAATATGAAGCATATAATTCAAATGTACTTATTTAATATTTGTTTTATTTTGTGTATTCAAATTATGAAATAATGTTCAAAACAGATGATCTATGAATGGTTTTATATCTACTGTGTTAATTGATTTTTATTGAAACTTATCTATATTATATGGAATAGAGGGAGAGAGAGAAATAATAAAAACATATGTGATTTATGGATGTTGTAATTCATGTTGTTATTTGTTTATAATGTTAGATTGTTTAATTATAAATAGAGATGTTTTGTTGCTATTTGCTTGACATAAAAATTCTAAATATGGTTCATTCAAGTTTCTGACATTATTTATTACTTTTTACGTCATTGAATGATTTTAAACATATAAATTAATATCGAAAAATATCAAAATTAGCCTTCATGTCTACAATAGATTCTCAATTATTACATGTTCATCGAAAACCAATCTATCAAAAGCGTCCTCCCATCGCTGATAATCATACTTCTGTTTCACGTGCACATTCTCCATCGCCTAGAAAAACTGTATTTACATCTCGACGACGTCATTCAACACCTCAAGCATCAACTATACGTATTGTTGAATTAAAATCACCACAAGCAAATGCAATGGTTAAACATTATTATCTTAATACAAGAGCAACACGTGCTTTGAAAGAACAAAATCCTAAATCGGATTTAATTAAATGTCCACCTCGTCCAATTACATTAATGAAACCACGTTATCAAGATGAACGTACTTTTCGTTTACCTGCAACTCCAACAAGTATTAATTCAAGTACGGATTTTTTCTTGTCGACACCTAGAATAAATCGCAGTTTAATGGCTGAAACACCTAGTTCTATTGCATCCGAATTACAATCTATTAATCAAAGTATATCAACAAAAAGACAATGGCATAAACGACAAAAATCATTTTCATTTGATTTTGGAAGTCAAGTTTTCATGTCAGATGATGAATCATTAGAAGATGATGTATGATGAAAATTCTTATATAAATATTAAAATAATCAATATTATTCTTTTTATATTTCAGGCTTATAATTTAAATTCAACAAAAACTTGTAAATGCTGCTATAGACAATGCTCTTGTCAATTTCCATACCGTAGTTTTCATCAATGTCATTATAGTTGTACATTATGCTGTTGGATTATATGTCTTCTCTTAGCATTTGCATTACTTGCTGGAATATATCTAGTAGTGAGAGTTTTAGAACCTTAATCTAACGATGGTTTATTAGATAGTCGAAGAATTGCATTTGTTTTTTTCGTCATATAAAAAACAACGTTGGTTATATAATCTTAATTATTTGGTATTTGTCCTTGTTCATTTTATGAAAAAAAAATTGAATAAAAATAAAATTATTCGAGCGAAATATATAAGGTTTTTTTTAGTATTTAACTATTTGACTAAGAAACTAATTCATTAGAATGAGATGTATTTGCGAAGCCATATACAATTTTCATTGTGAAATTCAATAATCTTTACTCACATTAGTAAAGATTATATATAAAATATTGCTTTTTTTCTTATATACTTTCCAAAGGCAATATAATCAATTCTGATTTATTTATTATTGTTAAATAAAATGAATCAACAATATATTTTCTTTTTGTGCGTAATTAAAAATCAGTATAGCAAGCATTCCTATGGTATTTGTTCTGTTTTTTTTTTATTATTAATCTCGATTCATTGTTTTGATTTCGGAGTAAAATATTTTTGGTTGATTATAAAATAGAAATTGAATAGATCTGATGACAAGTATCAAACCAGCTGAAAATATACGAAAGTATAGTCCTGCAATTAGTCGTGTAACATCTGTAGTTCGTTTTAATTCTGCTCGTGTTACACCTGAAAACAATGAGAATAGCTCGGAAAAAAAATTAAATGAACAATCATCACCACCACTATCACCATCACCATTTAATCTTCAAATCGATGAGGGATTATTTCAATTTAATGAATTATCACTTCAATCACCTCTTATTAAAAATGAAATACATACAACAACTCTCAATACACCATCTAGAGATGAAAATGAAGGAAAGGAACGTACTGTTAAAGTATCTGAATATTGTACACCTGAAAGTACACCGTTTGAACCTTTAACAGGAAATATTTCGCCAAAAAAACTACATCGTTATATTCTTCTTACTCCGCGAACTATTTTTTCTATATCATTATTTACAATTCTTTCATTAGCGGTTGTTCTTATTGGTTTTGGTATTGCTATTTCACATCGACGAGCACAACTAGATTATCAATGTCCAGTAATAATATATTGTCCAAGAGATACAAGTTATACTCTCATATGTAATATAACAAATGAATATTGTAATTGTTATAATACAGAAGATGAAGTTATTGGTTGTATGAAACAGAGACAATATGGAGCAGGTTGTTATCGTTCACAAGAATGTTCTATTAATTATAATCTTCAATGCAATTTAAGTCTATATCAATGTCAATGTCTTGATCATTATATATATAATGGAAGTGCATGTATACCTATGTTAACATATGGTGATGCATGTTCAATATTAAATGATACATGTGATTATTCCTTAAATTTAACATGTTTAACTGGAAATATTTGTACTTGTAATACAAATATTACATTTTGGAATGGAGAATATTGTGAATCATATCGGTCTGTAAATAGTCCATGTGATCCATATAAAATTCCATCTGGTTGTTCAATGACATTTATATGTGATAATTCTACAGTAACATGTCAATGTTCATCATCAACTTATTTTGATGGTGACGTATGTTTATCATATAGTTCATATTTAGAACCTTGTTATGATACATCATCGTGTTTACCAAATACATATTTATCATGTTCAGAGGGTTTATGTCAATGTGATGATTCATTTTTTTATTGGTCATCAATAAATTCAACATGTATCTATCCAAAACAAATTCAATATAATTCTACATGTGAATATCAAACAGCTTGTGAAAGTGATTTTGGTTTACGTTGTATCAATGGTCAATGTTTATGTGAATTAAATTCCTATTGGACACCAGGAAATTATTGTGATTTTCAATCACAATATAATGAACAATGTTTAACAGCTCCTTGTCTTGCTAATACTGGACTTATATGTACATCAAATACATCCATATGTACTTGTCCACAATGTAAGTTTATGTTACCATTCACATATAATTATAATCGATAGATAAGTTCTTGTAAATGTTATTTAGATTATTATTGGGATAATTATGTATGTCAATATCAACGTGCATATACATCATTTTGTTTAAGTGATAATTGGTGTCGAGAGGATATTGGTTTACGTTGTCGAAACTATACATGTACATGTTCATTATGTACAACATGTTTTTGGGATGGTATACGTTGTCGTGATTGTCCTACATCATGGCAAATAGTTGTATCAAATGGTACAATTCAACCACGTACTTATTGTTATCTTAAAGTTGATTCGTATGTTAATTGGAATGAATCATTAAGTAATTGTGCAAAATTAACAACATCATATTTTGGTGGTACAAGTCATCTAATATATATTGATGATTTACAAGAATTACAAGATGTTTGTACATTTGCAACAACTGCTTATTATGATATATTTATTGGTTATACAAATCGTTTTAATTATAGTCAATGGTTTTTTGCTAACGATACATTAGCACCACCTATTAAATGGTGTACAGGTGTAGCAACAACATTTACATCATTAACATGTACTCGTGTACTTATTAGTTCCGTATGTGTAACTGATATAACATGTTATGGTTGGACTTCAAGATATATCTGTGAACTTGATTAAATACAAAACAGATTGTTTTCTTTGAAAAGTTATTTTGCTATAAATGTCTTTATTTTAATGTTCTCATATTTTCTTCAAATATCAGTATATGATATAACTGTGACCTATTTCCTCACCTTATACTGTTTGTTTATCGATTTACCACTAAAACCTATTATCAATATACAACTAACATTAATAAAAGAAAAATAGACTTCAATGATAAATAACTAACAGTAACAAAAATTATGTAATTTATTTTATATTTTTTTCCCAACGAATAATCATTGTGTTAACCAAAAAATTTACCATAATGAGATAATATTTATTCTAGGTTATATCTCATCACATAAGAAACGCGTACTTATAACATTATTTTAGAAAGACAATATGTCTGTACTGATAAATCGAATTTTACAGGCGATCGCTAATAAACAAGAAAAATGCATTATATATCATAACCATTTACGAAAATAGAACGAAAATCGATTCTTTGATACTATCAATCATCGGATATTAATCAGTGTGAAATAGTGCCATTTTTCAGTGAGAAAAGGGTTAATTTTTTCATAGAACGTTGAAAACACAAAGAAGTGCTCGGTCACTCGCTATTGACTATCATTCAAAATTTCATTTTTATTTTTCTTAATTGCGGTCATATTTTCAGTTGAATGATTCTGATATTTAATGAAAACATTCCTTTTTTGTCAGTAAATTTCATCCCACATTTTTTTCTATTCATATCAGATTTCTACAACATTCGATTGCATTATATGCCAAAAAAACTCATTCTACATACAAGACTTAGCGGTAAGAATATCTTCAACATTCAAAATGCCATCATCATCAACTATTACCGCTAGTCTAGCTCGATGTGACAGTAAATCTTTGACTTTTACATTCTGCATTCCATTTTGTTCAAATTCAGGCCAATATATTGCCACTCGTTCAATGCATATGGCTGAACCCCTAGCCATAGTACCTTTTCCTGTAGAATAAACACATTGCAATGTATCATGAGTATATTGTTTAGTACGATACTCGAAATCAAACCATCCACCAGCCAAGTCAACAATGCATTGCCCTTGATAATAAATGCACAGTGTAGCACCAATGTCAAGATGATTAATAAAGTTTTGATGAAATAAATGACGAATAAGTTCTCATGAAGTAGCAGAATAGCCTGATACGGGATGCTCTTTTTCTAACATATTTAGTCTATTGATAGTACTTCGAATATATTTATTCAAATTTTCGACATTTTTTTTTCGATCAAACTATCCTTCGCTCTCTTTTTATCGTTGAAAACTTTCTATTTCGACCTTTTTTTCGACTCTTTAGCATTTGATATTTTTAGTTCCAATCTTTTCTATACGACTCTGTAAAACCTTATCGCATTAAATAGAACATTGATGCCCTCTATCACTACTAAGAATTATTGGTCTACACCGATACTCGATTCATTGAAGAGAAGAGAAAGAGTTTTGTTCCCGGCTTTTTGAGTTGTTTCTTTTTGATACAAAGGAGGAAAACAAATCTCATCTTTCAACGCAATTAAGAATATTTTTTTCTAAAGTTAAGACTAGTATTACAATACTGATTAACTTAGTAATGTGTAAGAGGATTTTGGAAATGATTGGTTAATTTTTTGTGCTGTTTAGGTTTACGGCAATGACTGATATAGAAGAAGTGTCTAGAAAAAAAGGGGAATACACGACTGCATTTTTGAATGTATCTCAAGAAGAAGCAGAATTATTACTTGGATTTAAAATCTATCAATTTTATAATGATCAACTACCGATTGAACAATTTATTACAAAAACAGCACCAAAAGAGTTAAAGAAAAAAATCTTTGACCGATTAACCGATTGTATGAACTCAGAAGGATTTCCAGAAGCAACAATTGCTCCAATGAATGAATCCGTTGTGACGGATTACGTCGGACTGATTTTGATGGCGATGGTTGCTTATAGTAATCGTACGACACATCGTAATGAATTAATGCTATTAAGAGAAAAACAAATCATCAGTAAGGACGAGCAATATGGTGAAAACATAGAGTTTGTTATAACTCAGATGGTCCATGTTCGAAATACTCGATATATACTTGTTGTACAAGCAAAGCGGGATTCGCTGGGCAAAGGACTCATACAACTCTTATTAGCATTGAAATCGATGTCGGATATCAATAATGACCAAAAAATGGTATATGGTTTTGTAACAACAGCAATAAACTGGCAATTAATTACTTATGATGGTCAACTATGGAAACTATCTGAACCAGCTGTTGCTTTACTTGGAAATATGGGAACAAAAGAAGACCGGTGGTTAAAACAGAACACGCAAATATTAGATGTTATATTCACTGTTTTGTCATCAATATAGTTTTTGTTTATTGTTAATATTTAGTTGATAAATCATAAAAAACCTGTACCCGAAAGATTGTATTTCTGAAAGATCTCTTGACTACTTGAGTTTTATTGAATGATTGACGTGAAAGAGTGACGGAGTAAAACATAATATTTTCTCAGACGAGAAATGAACTTAAAGCAAGAACATTTGTATTTATATTTAGCGACTCTTCATCTTTTCTATATTCCGACTCAATAGTTCTAAAATTATTTATCTCTATAGAATATTGATCAGTTATAAAAATCAGATTTTTAATCATTATGAATGAGAAGATTTTTCAAACGATACAGTTAAATCAATAAATTAAGAATCGAAAACAATTTTTCTAAAAAAAAGTTTTCAAGAAAAGAACATCGATCAAAAGATATTGCAACAGTCGATTATTTTTCTCCAATTGGAAAAAATCATTCAGATGTAGATCTAGTGAAACAGAAAAATCAAAAAAGAAAAGAATAAGAACGATGAAAAAAAAATCATGTAGAAAAACAAGCAATATATTCATCCTCTTGCATGATCATTTGTTTTAGTTAATCAAAGTCTGAACACCATCTAAAATTCGTTAGACACGTAATTGTATTTTGCTCATATCAAAATTCAATTTATTTTGTACATATGCAAACGTTAATTGCTTTTCATTTTCAGGACACGCAAATGCAATACTTCCACCAATACCTATGTCAGAAAAATGGAACTAGTAATACGCTGAAATATGAACAAGTTGTTTTACTCCAATGTTCAAAGACTTTGCCAAAGTGTTTTACTACTGTTGCATCTAACATATAACCACCTTGACAAAACTTTGTCGGTATAAAATGAAGAATTTGATCACATTCATTTTCAGGTGTATTGTTCAATAGTGCTTTTATTAGAACAATCGTAATCGTGGTGGTGCTGCTGCTAGACCGATCGATGATATAATTTTATGTTTACCATCTACATTTGATTTAACTCCGCAACTATTACTTCAACATTTTGATTTACTATTAATAAAATTAAATGCATCAAATGCTAAATATATTAGTGATGCTATATTAAGTATTTCACGAAAAATACTTGATGAAATATTCTTAGAAAATTATCTTAATTTTATATAAAATGAACAATTTTAAAAACTTGCTATAGAAAAAAAATCTTAAATTTCTATTTATCTATATTTTATGTTTAATTTTGTTAGGGTCCTATAGCAAATAAAGAACTTCTTCGCGTATTAATTGAATATGTATCACATAGAAACTTAATAAAATCAATTATAAAACCGATATGAAATAATCATCTATATCAAGATGTTCGCGTATGTCTTATTTTGAGTTTATTTCATTTTATTGGTAAAACATGTTCGAAAGAAAATATAAACATTATTTGGAAAGTTCTTGAAAAAGCTGCAATGGACAATTATCCTCCTATAATAAAATCTTTATTTGCTTCTCCTCAACGAACATCTCGTTCTCGATCATCAAAACTAAAAACTTCATTGAAAGAAATTTTTGAAAGATTTGTTAAAGGAACACAATTTAAAGTATTAGATCATCCAACGTCATTAGAAGCACGCTTATGGGCTTAGTCAAATATTGACTATAAACATTGTGATATGAAGAAATTATATGAAAAAGCTGAAGAAGAATGTGCTCAGTTTAATAAAGAAGGAAATACTTTATGGGAACAAGCTTTTGAAAAAATGATTCTAATTTATAAAGAAGAAAAAACGTAAGTGACATGTCTTAAATAGTTTTATAATTTTTTTTCTTTTTCTGAATAGATGTTCATTTGATGTTATTATTGATATTATTACGAAAATTATGTCGCGTCAAGAAGATATTGATTTGAATGAAAATGGGAATGGGAATGGAAATGATAATAAACATGATTTACCAGTTTACCATCGCATTCAACGTATTTTAACAATCCTTGATTCTCACGTAAAAACATTTGATAAGATGAAAAAAGTTGAATTTCAGTCAATAACACCAGTTATTCTTCAATTTGATAAAACATTAGCTTATGATTTGGCAAGAATATTAATTAGAATAGCTAAAAGTAAAGAAGATCTTGAAGATATATTAATAAATCTGGAACAAAATTTCTCTAAAAATTGTTTTGAAAACACTTTAATAGAATTATCAAGTGTTATTATGAATTGGGAATCTTGTCCTTTTATTAAACAATTAAATGCTAATGAAAAACTTGAATTAGGTCAGTGGTTTATCAAAGAAAAAAATCGAACATTATTTGTTTTTGATCTTGTAAAACAAGTTTTTCATGAATCGAATGTTGATCGAGAAGAATGTAAAAGTCTTCTTCGACAAATGCGACAAAGTGACAATTTATGTATACGACGACAAGCCATGAATTATACTGTACCATGGGCAGAAGATGGTACTCTTATCAAAAAACATGGTTTTTGAAGATAGGAACGTTATGATGCATTACGTGAATCGTAAAAACAATTCCATTTTGAAAAAAACATGTTTCTAGATCCGACTAAGAAACATTTTCGATTATTTTTTTTAATAAACTTTGTTTTAGAACTAAAACATCACTCTTTTAATGTTTTGTATAAGCTATAGAATAATTCTCCAAACGAGTAATATCACTATGTTCAAGGGTGTTGGTGTAGATGTGGGTATCTCTTTCATTAGTAAACACTCACATAGCCACACTCATATGACATAACTGTGACATGTTTTCCCCACCATATACTGTTTGATAGTCGGCTTACGTCTAAACCCCATTATCAATATCCAACAAACATTAATAAAAGAAAAAAAAAAGTCGATGATAAATAAATAACAGTAACAAAAATTATGTAATTTATTTTAAAATAGTATTCTGTCAGTTTTATCCTTTTTCTCACTGAATAATCATTGTGTTAACCAAAAATTTCACCATAATTATAAAATATTTATTATACGTTATATCACATTGTTTTTCGAAAGACAAGATGTCTACACTAATAAATCGAATTTCACAATAAATAAGAAAAATGTATTATATATCATAACCATTTACGAAAATAGAACGAAAATCGATTCTTTCATATTATCTATCTTATTCTCTTTCATCATATTTTACTATAAACAACAAAATTATTATAGAGCGCATGTTATGCTTGGTTTTTTCCTTATCGATGATACACTATATATAGCTACGAGTGGTCTGCATACAATAATATTCTTCTTCATAAAATCTTTTTATTCGTAGATAAACTTAGTAGATTGTTATCTTTTGATAAATGTCTTCAATTAGCCAATATGAATTATTAAAACAACATGGAACATTTCACGATCGTCTTAAATATGTTTTATCATTAGAAGATAAAAATGAAATAGAAAACTATTTAAGACAATCATTAGCATCATCATATGATGATTTACAAATGTTTGTATTTTTATCAACATCAACTAAAAATCAAAAGAATTTATTAGAAATCATTAAAATCGATTCACTACCAATAAAACAACGAACAATTGCTGCACAAAACTGGATTCAACTTGAAAAAGATGAAAAAGAAATTTTTGATTTTATTATCGAAAATCTTAATGACAAAAATATGCCTCGATAGTAAGTTTAACTTTTTAATATAGGTATTCATTTTATTTCTATAATTTAGTTTTAAATATCGAGTTTTACAAGATTTACATCGGCATAAATATTTAAAGAAATCTTCAACATTCTTTTATGATCTTGCTTCTCATTTAACTGAAACATATCATCATTCACAATATAATATCGATGCACATTTATTACCATTTTGTACAAAAGATCAAGTATTTGATCTATTATCACGATGGTCATTAAAACGTATTGAACAAATTAGTTGTACATCTGCATTAGTTCGTTATCAACCTCGTGTTATTATTGATTTAATTAGAAATGATTTAAAAGCTAAAAAATCAAATCATAAAAAACTTGCAACTTATTTTCGAGATAACGATAAATTATTTGAAGCTATTGCTAAAAAATACCCGAAAGAATTAGTTGTTTTAACAATTGAATATTTAAATCAGTTAGAAAAACATGAACGATTTTTACCATCTATAATTGAATCAAAAAAACAGTATTTTTTTAAAAAAGCACCTAATGAAATGATTGAACTAATTACAATTGTTGCTTCAAATCAACCAGGTTTTTATTTATTTATTTATTTGACCTTTTTAGTTTAATTTATTATTTAGGTGTAATTAAATATCAGTCAATTTGGTCTAATGATGAACATGAACTTGGATCATTTTCACTTCCTCGTTCATTTTCAATTAAAAGTTATGTTGAATTATTTTCTGTTTTATATGATAAATGTCAATGGTCATCATGTGATATAAGTCGCATTCTTCAATGTATGTTTAATAATGACAAAGCAAGATCTAATCTTAATAATATTAATAAAGAACGAAAATGGTTTATTGATATTGTTATTAATAAATTTATTGGAAAAGATATATTTATAGAACGATTAAAAAAAGAAGGAGATGAATCTATATTAAAATTATTGGAGTCATATCCAGAATTAACAACTCCGCTTTCAGTTCATTTAATATCACAATTAGAGAAAAAAGGCATTGTTGAAGCTGGAGAACGTTTATCATTCATTCGGCATCAAATAATGACACAAGAAGTATTTGATGAGTTTTTATCATTATTTAAACAAACAAGTTCTGATGTTAATCAACGATATGAGAATTATCCATTATTTTTTAAATGTGCCGTTTCAACAAATGCAGAATCTGTTAACAAAGTTCTTCTATGGATTGAAAAAAGACTGACTAACGAAGCCCTTTATATTATTGAAGAATTTTTAAGAAAACTAAAATCAGCTAATGATATATTTCAATTAGAAATCTTACCAAATAATTTTGAATCAATTGAAAGTATTATTGATATGGCATTAAATCATTTAGATCGATCAGATAGTACTTTTGAAATAATTATGGAATATGGACAATTATTACTTCAACGAGCTGAACATTATCAAAATAAAACACGAAGAAAACGAATTCTAGGATTCGCTACATCAATTCTTAAAAAGTAAAACTAAGTTTTATCTATTAAGAAAGATTGCTTTCGTCATATTTATCGATTTGTAGTCATTATATCTGCTACTATGAATCTTATCTTCTGAAAACTGATAAGATTACGATGAATGAGTACCTAGTCTCCAGTTTTCTACTGATACTAACCTATATCTCATCTGTATATCTGTTATGATTATGACAAACTAATTTAATCCTTAACAAGTTTCCGAAAGATTTCGAAAGCGATACAACTATAATATTTTTTTTATAAATTTATTTTCGATTTAGATGTTATTCGTATCCAGATAGTCTTACAATTAATGGTTCATCAATATCAGAATTATATCCTAAAACTCGTAATATAATTGCAGATATTCTTGTCGCAGACGTATATCCACAACTAGTTTCAAAATGTATGTTAACTGAATTAAATACATCATTAAGAACATGTTTAGACAAAGCATGGCGTTTACCACAAATCGACATATTCATTAATAGATTTTTTACTAAAACTCTACCTTCATCATCAACACTTCAATCAGTCTTTCCATTTGGTCTAAAGTCAACGTTAGTTTCATATTATATTAAAAATCGCGCAACTCGATTTGAACGTGTTAATTATTTAATTAATAAACTGGATAAATTATTTTTTCTTAACCCAGATGTACAAAAAATTGCTGTTCGCTCACAACAACATCGGCAATTCATAGATCAATTAATTCAAGATGATAAATGTGTAACAGCTGTAAAAATATTAAAAACACAACTGAAACAAGGACTAAATTTAAAACTTATACCAAAAAAATTGAAATTACCTGGTTTACATCATGATACTTTGTGGAGTCTCTCTTATTTACTAACTGGAAAACAGCAAGAACATATTATAAAAATTATTCTAGATGATTATTTTCAAGTAAAACATTTTCTACAAAAATGTATAGAAATATGAATTTTTTTCTTTAGGATAAAGAAATTGGTAATTACGAGAAATTAGCATCATTTCGTATTCTTCGTCGTCTAACGCATACATACGATATAACTCTTGAATGGTTCAATCAAAAACAAGATTCAGCATTATCAATTTGCAATTCAACAGTGACGAAGACTTATCGTAATCGTGGCGCTGCTGCTAAACCACTTGATGATATTATCATATGTCTACCATCTACATTTGATTTAACTCCGCAACTATTACTTCAACATTTTGATTTACTATTAAAAAAATTAAATGCATCAAATGCTAAATATATTAGTGATGCTATATTAAGTATTTCACGAAGAATACCGGATGAAATATTTCTAGAAAAGTACCTTGATTTTATACAAAATGAACAATTTCAAAAACTTGGTAAAGAAAAAAAAGGAGTTTAAATTTATTATTTGTCTATATTTCATGTTTGATTTTGTTAAGGTACCACAGCAAATAAAGAACTTCTTCGTTTATTAGTTGAATTTGTATCAAATACAAATTTAGTTAAACTAATTATAAAACCAATATGGAATAATCATCCACATCAAGATGTTCGTGTATGTCTTATTTTAAGTTTATTTCATTTTCTTGGTAAAACATGTTCAGATGAAGATGAAAATATTATTTGGGAAATTCTTGAAGAAGCAGCAAAAGATGAATATCTTCCTGTTGTACAAAAATTATTTATTAATCCTCTAGAAAAATCTCGTTGTCAATTATCAAAACTAAAAATTTCATCGGAAGAAACTTTTGAAAGATTTGTTAAAAAAATTCAATTTAAAGTATTGAGCCATCCAACATCATTAGAAGCACGTTTATTGGCATGGTCAAATATTGATTATGAATATTGTGATAAAAATAAGTTAATTGAAAAAGGTCAAGAAGAATGTGCTCAATTTGATATAGAGGGAAATACTTTATGGGAAAAAGCTTTTGAAAAAATTATCTCAATTTATAAACAAGAAAAAACGTAAATTAAAAATAGTTTTATAAATATAAGATTAGTTTTTTTATTTTTCTAAATAGATGTTCATTTGATATTATTATTGATATTATCAAAAAAATCATGTCGCGCCGAGAAGAAATTGATTTGAATGAAAATGATGCTCAACATGATTTACCAGTTTATCATCGTATTGAACATGTTTTAGCAATTCTTAATTCTCATATGACAACATTTAATAAGGAGAAAAAAATTACTTTTCGTTCAATAACATCAATTGTTCTTCAATTTGATAAAACATTAGCTTATAATTTGGCAATAATATTAATTAGAATAGCTGAAAGTAAAGAAGATCTTGAAGATATATTAAAAAATTTAGAAGAAAATTTACCGAAAGATTATTTTGAAAGAATATTAATAGAATTATCAGATTTTATTACTATTCGTCATTCTTGTTCTTTTATTGATGAATTAAATGCTAATGAAAAACTTGAATTAGCTCAATGGTTTATCAAAGAAAAAAAGCGAATATTATTTGTTTTTAAATTTCTTCTAAATCTAGTTTTTCATGAATTAAATGTCGATCGAGAAGAATGTAAAATTCTTCTCCGACAAATGCGACAAAGTGATAATTTATTTATACGACGAGAAGCTATGAATTATACTGTACCATGGACAGAAGATGGTAGTCTTATTAATAGATATGGTTATTCTGGACGGGGATGTTATCGTGGATCTTGGCATTATTAAAAATATAATTTCATTTTGAATAAGAATCTTTTTATTAGATTTGATAAAAGAAACATTTTTGTTTTTGTTTTTGTTTTAATAAAATTTGTTTTAGAATTAAAGCTATTCATTGTTTTAAATAGGATATAGAATAAATCTGCAACAAGTAATATCATTATGTTCAAATAGATATTAGATAAGTTAATTCAAAACATAACTCTACGGTTTAACCATTTGAAATAAATTTAAATTAAAATATAGAATATTTTTGTTCATTTCAATAATTATTTTTTTGAATTTATTTAAAATATAGAAGAAAAAAATTATGGAAAACATAATAATTTAAGTTCTTTAATTGATTCAAGAACAACATCTAATTCTCGTTGCATAACTTCATGTGGTGTGTCATCTGCAATCATTGCTCTAAGATCATCAAACTGAAAACGAAGTTTATCAATTTGTTTATGTATTTCTTCTAAATAAAGCATTGTACTTGTAGGATCTCGTCTATATTCTAAAAATTTAGTTAAACCCAATGCCGTTAAACCAGATAATAATATTAACACACTAATAGTATAAATAAATGTACTCCAACTTGTTTCCGGTATTAAAACTGCTACAACTCGACCAAATATAATAAGTGCACTACCAATAATTGATAAAATAATACCCCATTTATTCATTTCACACCAAAAATATGTTGAATGAAATTTTGTTAATTTTGCTTGTAATAATTGAGATTGTTCGATTAAATTTTTAAATGTAAGTTCATCAACTTTTGTATTTAAATGTTCAATAAGTGATGTAGTTGGTTGTAATTTAAATTTTTTATAACGTATTTCCATGCTACCTGCTGCTTGATAGGTTGAATGACGTACATCAGTAAAATCATTTTTTATTGAAAATAATGCATCTTTTTCTGAGCCAATTAATTGTGGAGATAATGTTTCAAAATATCGATCAAATTTATCGATTGCGATACTAGCTACATTAATTGAACGTGAAAAATTACTTGATGAACCTGGACGATCGAAACGAGTTTCAAATAGATCATGAATAGCTTGCCATTGTTCATGGGTAAAAAGTGGACTTGTCATTTTTCGATTTTAGAACTAAAATTTAAATCGACTATCGAACTTTTATTAAATTCTCAAGCTAAAAATGATGAGTCAAAAAGAAAAACAAGCTGAGATTTTGCATCCGTATGAAGATATTAGTTGATTATAAATATGATTCAAATAATAATACAAAATTTTATGACTGAATTTATATAACTATCGATATAAGTTTTGCTTACTTACTTTGTATGAACAGCAATAAAAAAGTAACTGAGACTTTCATTCTCATATGAGCTTTATAGTAAGAAATAGTGACGTGTCAAAATTTCGTCATTCAGGTGCAATACTCGTGTTTCTCTTGCTATTTCTTTTTTCTTATTCTAATGGATGTCACCACTGTAAATATACAGAAAAGAGAAGAGAATAAAAAGGGAGCATGACAGAAAAAAAAGAGTAATGGTATGAAAAATTGATAATATATTGTTTACGATTGGAACATTCTTAAATGTTAGTTTAGTGTGACGATGCTGGCGGCTTAATTGCTGCTTGTTTTGCAGATTTTAATGATTGTTGAGTATGATCCGATTCTATATTAGAAATATAATTATAGAAAATAAAAATGTTGTGACAAAAAGTAATTTCAAACTTGTTTTCGATGTTTCATGTAAAGATATTGGTGTTGAATTTGATGGTGATGGACGTCCACTAATATTTCCACGATTTGATTCGAATGTTCCATATTCTTGATGTTTAATTAAACGTGATGTTTTAAAAACTTGTTGTTGAATATCCCACTGTCTCATTTGTCTAAATAAAATAAAGATAGATTTTATTTTATTTTAATTTTTAAAATACATACGAACGAAAATCTTTGTTTTGATTACGTTCCCAATTTTGAGTACTTAAATCAAAATGAGTACCAGCAAGACGGCCTTTAACAGCATTTTTATTACTCTAAAATCTTATTAAAAAAATACAAATAGATATGATACCAATTTACCTGTGGTTCATTAGCCATAGGTGAATGAGGATTAACACCCGGTAAATGTCGACTTTTCATTTCTTTAATTATTAAAAGATTAAAAATCATTTTTATATTTTGTAATAAAACAAACCTGCTGGTGAACCAACATCAGGAAGTTCATGAACAACTGCACGTGTACTTTTATCCCATGGTCTATCTAAATAAAGTTTATTTTGTCATTATCAGCAAAATATGAAAATTATTTACCTCTAACTACGGAGTCCGATTGAAGACGAGTTAAAACAATAGGAATACTTGAATGTTGAATCCGAAGTACACGCTTAAAAGAAAAAAAGAATTCATTTAAATTATTTTTCAAAAATAAAATTTACTTGTGCATTTTGAAGAATTTGAAGGTTATTCATTTTAATCTATAATAAAAGAAAAGAGAAAGATTTTAGTCATAGAAATTTTAAATATTATAAGAGAGAAGAGATTGCAATGGAATTGTTCAATGAAAAAAAAATACATAACTAGCATTAAATATGAACAACAAAAAAGTTTTTATTTTTTTCCTTTATCAGGATTACGGGCATCAGTTGAACTACCAGCTTTTCCATATTGAGGATCATTATTAACAACTTGATCTGGTTTACTCCAATCTTTTCGTGTCGTACCTAATATAGATATATTAGAAAAGTGTGTAATTATATTTTGTAAATATTTATTTACCAGGTTGTTCAGTATCATCAGTTGTCGATGGTTTTTGTTTTTTATCACCACCTTTACTTTTATTTAAATTACTGCCATGTTGTTGTCCACCTATGAATAAGTTATAGTTTTATCCACAATAAAAATGAAGTATTCCTACTTTTATGATTTTCTGATGAAGTTGATGATCGTGGATCACTGCCATCGAATCGAACCTGTTGTACAATTGTTGAAGCACGTACAAGACTAGCTGGTCGTTGCTAAAAAAAACAACAATTCTTTCAGATATTTTCTTATGTTAGCGAGTAATTCAACATACAATAACTGTCGTGAGTGTTTGACGTATAACTTGCATAGTATCTGAAATATATTCAAAATAAACTCAAATAAACTCTTTTTCAAAAACAGGAAAGATTCTTTATTTTATCAAAGAAAAAAAGAAAGAACATATTATACAGTTGAATTATTCTGACAAATGACTGAAAGAATGTTATCTTCTTGATGGTCTACCACTGAGATCGTCGATTGTGTTGATGCTGTTGTTGTTGTTGAATAACGAAATTATTTACAAAAGCAATTATTTGTTCTTGATTTGGTATTTGTACATGAAAATATTTTCCCATTAGAATTATAATAAATATAATAAATAAAAAATTAAAATGATTTATAATTAAATGTAAAATAAGAATAAATAAATTAAATAGAACAATAATTAAACAAATAATTATTGTTAAAAGATTGATATCCGATGGTCGACGTTTATAACACATAAGAAAAAAATACAGAGCAATAAATATTACTCGAAATAATGTTATTAATGGAGAAAAATCAAATAGAAATTTGACTGAAACATCGATTAATGATGGTACCCATTGAGTAAATACAACGGATAAAAACGATAATATTACATAGGAAAAAATTGTACCAAAAAATATCAATGTTGCAATGGTCGATAAAACAAATAAACAAATATATATTGCTTTTTTTAATTCAAATAATTCACTTTCTAATGTATGTATACGGCGATATAAATTTGATAAATGTTTTTCAATTTGTTGTTCATCAATAGAATTTTTAATTGTTGTTGGACTATTTATAGTTGATGATGAAGCTGAAAGATTGAGAAAACTTTCTTCTTCTTCCGGGCTTATTGGAGAATGATCAAGGCAATTATTTCGAATATGTATCGAAAAATTTCCTCGATTTATTATTTGTTTACATACATTACATTGAACCTAAATAATACATATAATTATATATATATATGGAAAATGATAGCTATTTTTTCATGACTATGTTCTTAAAAGTAAAAGATATATTTATACTATTTGACATTCAAAATCAAGAATATATTAGTAATAAAATTAACTAAGCAAGATTTTAGATCTGATTATCAAAGAAAAGAAGTTACATTGAAGCTAATTGTATAATTAAAGTTTTCAGAACATATAGAGAATGTTCATTTACTAAAGAAGAATTGCAATGACTATATTCATTTTCGATTGAATTTCTAAATAGATACTAAGTACTGAAAAATTCTGTCTTAGAAACAACGCAATAATCTTTAAGAAGAAAGTATAAGATAAGCTTTATGAAATACTTTAATAAAACTAAGTTTGACAAAATCGAATAAATAATATCTCTGTGAGTAAAAAAAACATCGTTTCTTGTTATAAATTATAATAAGAATTCAACATAATTTATTACCTCTAGTTCATCAAGAATATTTCTAATAACATGACTTGTCATTTTTAAATCATTTGGATTCATAATTGAAGCTCGACAACATGGACATTGTCTTAATTTTCTTATGCAACGATTACAGAATGAATTTTCACATGAAACATGTGTTTGAGGATCTATCAATGGGTCCAAACATATTGGACATATCAATGATCGTGAAATTTTATCTTCATTAATATATGTATAATTATTAGCTAATGCTAATTCACGATTGGATGTTGTTGTACGAAACATCATCCTTAATTGATTCAGTAGTGTCGAAGGCATTTTTAATTTTTTTTCCAAAAAAATATCTAAAATCGAAAAACAAAAAAGACAATTTTTTTATATACAAAAAAAAACAAAAAGTTGTAAATTTTGCGTTTATTTCATATTGTTTGACGTATACTACGATATATAGATGCAATACAATTAACATCAATCCATAAATAAAGAAATATATCACTCGGTAAACCTTGTTTAAAATATAAATTCAACCATATTGATAGTACTACTGTTACAATTTTTAAAATAAAAAAAATTAAACGATATGGTAAACCATGATGTGTACCGAGACCATAAATATATATTGAATAACTACCAAATATAAGTATAGCCATGTTACACATAAAATTAATATGATCAAGTATTTGTCGTTGTTCATTATATGATAAACATATTTGACCGGAAAGTTTTCTATGAGAATATATGATTGATGATGATGAATTACTATCATTTAAAGTATTGATTAATAATGATCCATTAAATATTGTTTGATTGGAATATATATTTCGTATATCAGTTAATTCAACTTTCATTTTTGTCATTTCTTTACTTAAATATACAACATCAGATAGACAAAGAAGAAAGATAGTACTATAAAAACCGGCTATAACACCAAGAACAATCGATGCTAAATTTGTTTCATTCATAGAGAGAAATAAAATAATCTTGTCTAAAACAAAAATAAATTTAATTTCTATTTCACAAGAAATTTCTCTTCTTTTCTCTCGCTCTCTTTCTCTCTTTCTCCATTATTTTTATCTATTCCATAACCATACAATAGCAAATGAAACAATATACCACAACAAATATACAATAGTAAATGGTTTTAAATATCCTAATAGGTAATATTCCATAAACATTCTTATTAATATCGATATTATTGCAAGAATAAATACACAGAAATAATAAAAAACAAAATCAATTCCAATATATTCTTGATCATTACTCGTAGTAGTATTATTATTATTATCATCATCATCATCATTCGAAAACATTTCATTCGAATTTTTTAAACGTTGATTTAATATAAATATAATTAATGATAATATAAAACAAATATAAATAATCCAAGAAAATGCATTATACCAATATTCAATTGTGTAACAACTATACATTTTTATTGGTAAGATTGTATTGATATTATTATGAGTTGAAAAAAATAAATCATTACTTAAATTAAAACGTTGAGCAACACCTTCGGACCAATTAAATGCAATTAATAATGAAGATGATATAAAATCAAATAAATTCGTTAAACTTTCAGGTCGCATTATATAAACAATAGATAATGGAATTATAGAACCAGCGGTTAAACCATACATAAACATTGGACAACTCATGATGAAATTTTGTTTTTTCGTTTTATATCTGAAATAAAAAAACTAACGTATACAAAGACGAACAAATAAGAAAACAAAAAGTAGCCATGCAAAATTTGTTAAATGAAATTGTTTCAATGATGTATATAATATCGATATGACTGAATAAGATATTATATTTACAATATGTAATAATTTAATAGTCTGTGTTGTTGATGTATTAAATACACATAAATGAAAGAGATAAAGAAAAACTGTATAAATTATAAATGAAGATGATAAAAATGTAAAATATGAAAATATATTTTGTATCCATAAGATAAATGTATTTGAAAATTTTGATGATGTAATTGTTTGTTCAATATAATAGATTTTATTTTTTAAATCATTCATATCATGACGAAGTTCATTAAATTCTTTGGAATATTCAGGTAAATCATTATGAGTTTGATAATGTGAAAGATTTTTATTATTTATAGATGTTCGATTGTAAATAAATATAAATATAGTAGAAACAATTGTAACAATACCAAATGTTGTTTGATTTCGATTTAACATCGGACTGAAAGAAAAATGTAGTAATTTAATTTTATAATGATCAATTGCATAGTTTCTAGAAAAATATATATATATACATGCATATATATATATTTGTGTTGTTGTTTTACAGGATCACCAGTTTGTATTAACCAATCAGAATAAAGATAGGTCGTGCCACTGTCGATGCAAAACATGATTATAGTAATTTTATTAAATTTATACGAGATAGTTACATAGAAGAAATTAAAAAGTTTATTATTGAATGAAAAATGAATTTATTATGCTTATTTTCTATATAATAACATATATATATTTTGATAATAAATGGATTACAGATCAACCAGTTCAGAATCAAAATATCGTTTTTGGGGACAATAACTAGACGGACAGTTACCTGGATTTTTCAAATAAGTTGAACAAGTTCGAATATAAATTTGATCGTAGCAATTGAAACTATTTTAATATTGTTTTACATAAGTTATATATTAAATTTTATATAGATTTAATTATATTAGAAAAGAACGAAAAATCTTCCAATTTTCACAAATTTTTTCAATAATCGAAATATTATTTTATGATTGGTGTATTATAGTTACAAATCGAAGTTTTGATTGCCTATCTGTGATAAGATAAGAAATAAAAATATAGGACATTTACTTTTGTCAGCTGTTTCTACGAATGATACTTGCAATCATCTTCGTTTCAATTATATTCATTCTTAATGTTTTATGGTTGAAATACCGTCGTAATTCAAAAAAAAAGTTTACAATACCAGGTGTAAAATCATCTGATTCAGCACTTGGCAATCTTGGTGATATTGGTCAAGCTGGTAGTTTACATCAATATTTAACTATACTTCATAGACAATTTGGTCCAATTGCTTCATTTTATTGGAATAAACAACTTGTAGTTAGTTTAGCATCACCTGAAGCTTTTCATGAAACACGTCGTTTATTTGATCGACCAGTTCTACTTTTTTCGGCATTTGAACCATTGATTGGTTCTAATAGTATTCAATATGCTAATGGTGACATTGGACGATATCGTCGAAAAAATCATTATGATACTGCTTTGTCACCTGTGGCCCTTCGGGGACATTTTTTTGATATATTTAAACGTGTCCTACGTGAGAAAATGATTTTATGGCAATTAAATGAAGGAAAACCTATAGCATTACAAGCTGAAATGTTATCATTGGCAATACAATCTATTACATTAACTGCTTTTGGATCGACACTATTATTAGGTGATGAAAAACAAATTGAACAAGCTTACAATACATGTTGGCATGAAATGGAAATGCGTATTCAAGGTCAATCTATGGATTCTAAACGTGAAATTGAATTTAAAGAAGCTCGAAATTATTTTTTAACAAAAGTTAAAGAAATTATTACTGAACGTCGTCAACGATCAGGTGTTGATGATAAATGTTTTATTGATTTTTTATTAGCTGATGATGAACATGTTCTTAGTGAAGAACATATCTGTGATGAAGTTATTACAATGTTTGTTGGTGGTTTTCATACAACAGGAAATCTTCTCACATGGATTTTCTATTATTTAGCTAAACATCAAGATATTCAACAACGTCTTTTTAATGAACTTATTCGAACATATAATACAGAATTTCCATCATTTGAACAAATTGATCATATTTCTTACTTAACAAATATTATTAATGAATCATTACGTCTTTCTGTATTGGCACCATGGGCAGCTCGAGTATCAACTGATGAACCAATTGTTATATGTGGACATACAATTCCAGCTGGTACACCAATTATACAAGCACTTGGTGTTGTTTTACATGATGAAAACATTTGGCCAAATCCATTTCAATTTAATCCTGATCGATTTAATCAAGAAAATAAAAAGAATTTTTCAACATTAGCATTTTCACCATTTGGATTTTCTGGTAAACGTGTATGTCCTGGCTATCGTTTTGCTCAATATGAAGCAAGTTTATTTGTAGCTGGTATAATACGAGCATTTCAAGTAACTTTAGTTGATCAAACAAGTCCAGTAATACCTGTACATGGTTTAGTAACAGCACCAAAGGACGAAATTTATGTACAATTTGCTAAACGAAATTTTTGATTTTAGTTATTTTTTTTATGTATAAAAAAGATATTATAGTATATTGTGTTGCTCTTTTTTATACTATGAAGTTTTTCGTTCTGTCAATCGAATACAAACGAAAGAACGAACAATATCGTTTTGTTTATTGATTGGTGAATATCCATTACGAATAACAAAGATAAAGAGGATAAATCATATGTATATATAAAGATTAGATAATGGTATAATCGAAAACCAATGAATATCGTCTGATGAAATATTTTGCATCAGCATTTTTCGTCTTAAAATAGATTTTTATCGATATATCAATAATTTGATATCACATCGTTCTGCTAAATTTAGGTAATCTTTATGTGTATGTAATTATTTTGACTATAGTAAAAAATGAATCATTGATGACCGTTTTATAAAGTAAGCTCTATGTCATTAATATTCACAAATGTCAACTATTAGTATATAAAATAGAAACATATCTATCACAGTAATATTGTTTTTTCTAGATCACAAATGACTGATACGTCTAGTACGTCACGAGCATTTACTCCTGAACAAAATATACGTTTTAATGGACCAAAAGGTCGTCGAAGAAGTATTTCTATAAGTTTGCATGAAACAGCAACACCAGCAGTTAAATCTTTATCATCATTAGAACATGTTGATTTACAAAATGATAATTCTGATTTATTATCCGCTTATGATAAATTAACAGTATGGAAACGAACCATTGAAAAACATTTAAATCGTATTTATTTACATAAACTTAAAGAAATAGATAATTTATTATCTGATGGACAAAATCATATTGATATTGTATTTGGTACACTACCATCATTTGACGAATTAGCAATAGTTACATCTCGACAACATACTATTGATCATACATATGATGATATAGAATTAAATCATCAAAATTCTCAATCATTTGATTTAACAAGTAATAATATATTACTTTGTACATCGGATCGTTATGTATTAATTTATGATGATATAAAAACAAAATTAATTTTATATAATAATACATCATATATAAATTCATCTATATGGGATACAAATGAATATGGTGATCCATGTGATTTAACATATTCATATTATTTAGATTTATATTGTATTATAACAAATCGTGGTTTATTTACATGGTCCAATGAAAATAATTCAATACCATTACATATTGATTCAATAAGACCTATATCAGGAAATCGTTTATGGACAATAGCATCAACAGATACAAAATCCGATGTATTTATATTATTTAAATTAGGTAGTTATATTGAAAGATGGAATTCAATAGTTGGTACAAAATCTTGGCAACATATACAACGTTGGTCAAATCATGATTTATTTGAACGTAATGATCAACGTATAAGAACAATACGAATGACATCAAATTATGTTGTATGGACAGTTGAATCAACAAAAACATCTGAGTGGAGAGTTGATTTACTTGATTATCATTTACAAGTTCTACGACGAGGTATTAATATAGATAATTTAGATAAATATTCTTCATGTTTATTATCAAATTTTGGTCCAGAACAATTTCTTATTATTGACAGTAATTGTCATTCATTATTTTTACTTGATTCAAATGGTTCTATTAAATTAAAAACAGATTCTATTATAAATAAACGTATTAAAAATGCTGTTCTAATGAATAATAATAATCAAAAATGGCTTGTTGTTCGATTAGAACGACCAGATCAATTATATTTTATTGCTTTATCGGACAAAACAGACAATTTAAACAATAACATGTAGTTATTAGTTGTGATATATATATATATATTAACTAGAATCTTTACGAACAGTTTTATTGTGTGCTATATTTTATTGTTTTATTGATATTTACACTTATATGCTATAGTTTGTTTTTCAAAAAAAAAAAAAAGAAGAAAAGTGCAAAAACTAGGTGTACATCTTTGACACAAAAACGTTTTGATCTATTGATATTTACTAAGATAAAAGTACAACCAATCTTTAAACCTAAAACAATGAAAAGAGTTACTCTTTGTAAAATATCAACTACCTTGTTTTTGTTTTGTGAACTTTATTAAGGATATATCGAACAGGTGCATATCACAACATATATAAGTCGATTGAATTCAATAGATAGTTTATTAAACGATACGTGTACTAAATAACAATATGTAAGTAGAATATTATTTGTAGAATTTTTATTTCAGTTTAATAATTTAGTTTTTGATATCAAAAGATGCGTTGGTATTGTTGGTTCATATTTTTTGCTATTGCAAGTCTTTCAATATCGGGATTTCCCGCAAATGAAAATGCTGATGAAAACAATTTATTAGCTATTGAAACTGAAAATGACAAACAAGAAGATATTGCTATTGAAAAAGGACTTTTAAATGAAGAAGAAGAAGATGATGATGATGACGATGAATTAATTGATGAAGATGATATTTGGTCAATCACTGATCGTCACCTTCGACAACAAAAAGGAAAAGGTAAACAAGAAAAAGGAAAAGGAAAAGATAAGCACGATTCATCATCATCAGAAGAAAATGACAAACATAATGGTAAACATGGAAAAAAAGGAAAGAAAACAAGATGTATTTGTTTTGGAAAAAAAAATCGTCATCATTCAAAAAAACGTCCTCATCAGCCAAGTAAAAAACAATTTTAAAAAATTTATAAAAATAAATTTATTATCTATTAAAGTGAAACATCATTCTGGTCCATCAAAGGATCATGATAATAAACGACCATCATCTCCATCACAACATGGTGGTCCACAACAACATGGTAGTTCATCACAACGTCCACAAGGTCAAGGAAACAAAGATCAAAACGGATGTAAGACAGTCATTTGCAATTTTGTATCATCAGTTAAAAATGTCTTATCCACTTTTACAGCTAATGGAAATAAACATCCATAATCATCTAATGGCTTTTTAATTGAATATGGCAACAACATATGCACAACAAATAATTTTCTTTTTTTTTTATTATATAAAATAGATTTTGGAGTAGAATTTGTTCTACAAATAAAATATTCAATATATCTATTGGGTCATATATATATTTGCTTATGTTTAATAGAATGTGTCTTCGATCTTTTCTGGATTTCGTAAAATATCGAAAATAAATGATAAGATCTTTTTTAAAATTTTCCTTCAAAAAAATTAAACGTTATGTTTTATTTCAAAAGCAATTAACAAATATATATATTTAACAATGAATAAACAATTTTCTTTGTTGTCTTTCATAATATTCTTGATCAAATAGACTCATAATAGAACTTTGTACATCCATATCAATTTCTTCTAAATACCATCGTTGTTTTTTATTTAAAACCATATTCCAATGATCATGATATAAAAGCATACAATTAATAAATAATCGTTCATCATGTGTCATTACACGTTCAGATTTTGTTTCAATTGGTATCCATGTTTGACAAAGAGTTTCTTGTTTACCAGTACGAAGATATGGTATTTCATTATTAATTAATCCACCTTGTCGTGTACTATCACCTATAACAAATTGTCGACCAAATTGATTCTTATAATTTGTTGTTAAATATTCCAGTGAAGATTTTTCAAATAATTGTACAAAACACATTCCTTTAGTTCGAAGAAAAATATCTAATGAAAGAAATTTTAATTCAAAATCTTGATTTTTTGGATTTGGTAATCGTTTTGACATGTAAACAGTACCATGTATAGAATTCCAAAAGAAATTTTCTCGTGCTTGCTCACTTATAATATTATAAGCATGAGCGATAAGTGAATCGGAAGAGAAACGATGAATATATGATGATGGTAAAAGTAAATATTGATGATAACGACTATGGATATCATTTACATTTATATAAATTTTATTATCTTTCGAACATTTAACATATGGAAATATATATGAATCTATTTGAACAAAACCACCTGAATCTTCAACAATCGATAGATCAAGCTAGAAGAAAAAATATTATTTCATCAGTTTTAAATTTATAAAGTAAGAAAACGTACACGTTTTTCGAAAAATAATCGTCGTTGAGCAATATTAGTTGAGGAGACACATAGTGAATCGGTATCATTATTTGATTGTCGACTTTGTCTAAAAATTCAAATAAAACAAGTGAAAATTTTATCATCTATGATATATATACAATAATAATCTCTTAAAAATAAACTATTAGTTTTCTAAATCCTATGAAATATATACTTCTCTATTTGATTTAACACCAATTTTTCTTCAATAGTCCATCTTGATTTTACTTCTTGTCTCATTGTTTCGAGAATTTGTTCCCATTTTTCTGAATTCCAATTACTTGTTTGAAAAAAAGATGTAGAACAATCAAGAATACCAAGAAGACAATCCAATAAAGCTACACTTAATAATTTATTTGACCATTCTAAATGATTTTCGGGTATTATATCAATTGTTGATGATAAACAATTAATAATTCGATGATAATAAACTATCTCAATTGATGTCATATCAAGTATAGGTAAATTTTTAACCATATCTAATATTGGACTCATACGATTTGATTGATGTTGATCAAGTACATTCAATGCATAGCAAAAGCGAATATATGGAACATAATGATTATTTGATAAACTTAAAAATAAGAAAAATAATTTTCAGTTTGCAACTGCTTTTCTATTACAAACCGAAAAAGTATTGGAATACGATATCGATAAAATGTAAGAAGACCATAATGTTTTCTATGTGATGGTAAATCAATTGGACGTAATGGTGATGATTGAATTTGTGAAATATTTGATGGTTTAGCTGTTAGAATATCGTTTAATTCATCATCTAAATTATAATTATCTGTTGTTTCAGGAGGAAGAAATTGACCTTCACTTTCAATAAATTCAAATGGATCATTGCCTAGATTAAATATATCCATGTCGTATGATATATTTGAACTAGAGAATAGCTAACTACTATATATGTTTGGAAATGAGAAATAGATTCGATATCGATAATCGAAGAAAATAAAAAAAATAGATATAAATCCACATGGTTAATGAAGAAGGAAGAGAAGAAAAGAATGTAGATACATATTCATCGTTCAAAGAGACCATAGTTGTAGCTACCAAATATGTTCAGCTAATATTTCAAAATAAACTTGATTCACACATTACACGAAAAAATGACAAGAAATTTTGCATTTATTCAATTTAATAATATCTTTGAATCGAAACAAACACGTTCTATATTACAAAATATGATTGAATAATAACTTCAGGCTTCATCGTACTTTCCTGTTCGTAATATATAATAGCTGTATTCCTGTCGGTATCAGCTTAGTTCCTATGAATTAACTTAAACTAAAATATGTGTTAGAAGATGAGACTTGCATTCTTTAAGTGTTTCAACTATCCTTATTCTCCAACCATATAAGGAACTTTCAATAATAATTATTATGATCTATATTTAATCAATATATTGCTTCTGCAAATAATTTTATTGGCAAACTGATCATAATGCGTAAATTGAAGTTAAATCCGAAAAGAGAAAACATTATCATGTATTATAGATTATATAGCTCTTAGTATTTCACTAGTAACATTCGTATTCATTAGAGCTTTATTACTTCTATATTTAATTGCTAGTGGTCTACTGATGGTATTTACTTATCTATTCATATATTGTTACGATTACTATTATTTTACATGAACGTAATACTCAAAAAATGAAAGACAGCTATTTGTGCTAGTATGCCATTTTTACTCTATAGTCAACACAAACATACTGTTTCTTATATTTGTATTCCTATACTAATTTCAATAGCTTTTTCCTTTTTCAATAATATTACGAATGATATAAACTCATTTAATGAAATAATTCCTATGAAAAAAACAATAGAAGCTAATTATAGAGATTGATTTCAACATATGATAAAAGTTACTTTTATTTCAATAACATTCGATTGCAATATAATAACCCTATTTTTTATCGTCACAAACAGCTGATTAATTATTTGTTCATCTATAAACTATAATGGCTTAGTCAATATCTTCATATTCGAAATATGCCTTTGCTTGTAAGTTGTTTTCTGATATAATTTATTTCTAGATTTTAAATTCTCTTATCATTTTCTATACATTATTTAAACGAAATATTTCAATTATTGTACTTGTTTATTCATCCTCATTGATGACGAAGAGAGAGAATTACTTATTTCAATCTTATATGTAACATGTCTTTCCTATTGTACAAATGGAAATGGAAATTGTAGAAACAATAATTCACATTCATGCTTTTCTCAAAAGAAAATAAATGTGATTTTCAATACATCGATTTCGAAATAATCATATCATCTATAAAATATTTATTTTCACTACGTTTACACAAAGAATAGCACGATAAGAGAATTATACTTGGATAAAAGGATAACAGTCCTTCATTATACGAATGTTCATGATTTTACCTGTATGCCACAAAAAGATATATTATCCTTTTTTTTCTTGTTTTATTTTACTTCTAAGACTGTAATAATTTAAATTACATTCAGTTTCTCTTCTATTTAAAATTATCTTGTAAAAATCGAACTTTACATCTTTTGTATTCAATTAAAATGTCAACACAAGTGTCTAATAATTATTTACAAAATTCAATATCATTATGTCATACATTAAAAGTATTCTTGTTTTTCAAGTTAAGCTTAAAAACGATCTTAGAAAGAAATATCTAAATTAATTGTTTTCAGCTAATATATATGTGAATATTTTATTTTTATTCGTGTTTTCTAATTCGATTACCTAGTTATGTTGAATAAAGAATTGCTAACCTATACAAAATATGAATAATATACATTTTATTGCAATACTTCTTAAATGATCAAAGATATATCTGATACTTGTTAATTGTTATTATTTTCCATTTAACATAATTATTTTGAAATGAATAAAATATATTTTTCAAAAAAATGAATGCAGAAATGTTGATTGCATGTAAGAATCTGTCATTACTACAATTATATTATGAACACATTGAATCTCATACAAATGAAAGTATCTCATTAATAACTAATCGATTGATTTCTTTTAGTTTCAAAATATGATATTTGTAAGGTTCTACATGTTGTAGAAAATCTCTATTATTCTTAAATGTTCAATCTCTTTGATCATAGTAAACAATTCTAAGTAAACAAAAGAATTTAATAAATTAAGGTTATAGATGTTTATATAAAAAAAATAAAGTGCAAAAAAATTCAATCTCCATTAAGAACAGAAAGAACGTTAGTAAGAACTATTGAAAAGACATGCGATAGTTAGTTAAAACAAGTAAAGACATAAATGAAAGTTTAAATGAAAAATGTCATATTAGCAAGTTTTCATAAGAATATCGGTATTACCATATCCATTATTAGTTGCAATAATATCAGTTAAATTATTATTGTCTATATCACCAACAGCAAGTGCAAATGGATGTGAATTAAAGCCGCTAGAGAAGATTTGTTGATTCATGAAACTCCCATTACCATAACCAAAATATACACCGATATAACTAGTCCCATAACTAGCAACAGCAATATCTAATCGAGTATCGTTATTAAAATCAAGAATAACAACTGAATATGGTTGAGAATCAACACCAGTAGAATAGGTAATTTGATTTGAAAATGTACCAGTACCATTGCTAAGAAAAATACTAATGGTATTAATACCAGAATTTGCAATGACAAAATCTAATCGATTATCATTATTTAAATCAGCAACACTAACTGAACATGGTTGAGAATCATTACCAGTTGAATATGTTATATCATAGAGAAAAGTACCATAGCCTGATCCAAATATAACTTTAACATTGCTTGTAGCATTATTGGTGATGATAACATCTAATCGAGTGTCGTTGTTGAAATCTCCAACAGCTATGGAAGTTACTTGAGAATAAGATCCAGTCGAATAAGCTGGTGCATTTAGAAAACCTTCATTAACATATCCAAAAAACATACCTATATTATCCGTACCAAAATTGGAGACGACAATATCGAGACGTTTGTCATTGTTAAAATCACCAACAGCGAGAAAAATTGGCTGAGAATTCTCACCAGTTGAATAGGTCAATGGATCAAAAAACGTACCATTAATGCATCCAAGAAGAACACCTAAATAATTAGTACCGAAATTGACAAAGGCGATATCCAGTTGGTTGTCATCATTAAAATCCTCAACGACTAATGCATTTGGAGCAGAGCCATGACCAGTTGAAAAAGTGATTTGATCATGGAAACTATGGTTCATATTTCCAAAAAACACGCCGATATTGTCTGTACCGAAATTGGCAACTGCAATATCTAATATAGCATCGTTATTCAAATCTCTGACGACGATCATTGATGGTCCTGAACCACTGCCAGTTGTATAACTAGTCAGGTTGAAAAAATTACCATCACCATCTCCATAAGAAATACTTATACTGCCACGAAGATAATTGGACACGACAATATCTAATCGATTGTCGTTGTTCAAGTCACCAGTAGCGATTGATGATGAACCAGCATTACTGTCAATTAAGTAGATGACAACAGAAGAAAAAGTACCATTGCCGTGTCCTAAAAAAACACCCATTCCACCAGAGAATTGAAGAGCGACGGCAATATCTAATCGGCTATCATTGTTAAAATCTGCAACGACGACTGCGATTGGACCGGAATGATACCCAGTATCAAAGGTCGTTTGATTTGTGAATGTACCATTACCATATCCAAGAAAAATACCCACATTGTCAGTATGTAGATTGGAGACAACTATATCCAAATAACTGTCGTTGTTCAAATCGGCAATAGTAACTGCAATTGTCAACGATTTAATCCCAGTCGAGTATGTTGTTTGATTAGAAAAGATATCATTGCTTAGTCCCAGAAAAATACCCACATTATCTGAATTGGCTGACACGAAATCTAACCAACCATCGTTGTTTAAATCAGCAACAGCTACTGCGCTCGGAGCAGAATCCGTACCTGTGGAAAATGTTGATTGAAATCGAAAACTACCAGTATCGTATTTGAGAAGTGTTAATACTCTATTAGTGCCAGAGTCAACAATAGCAATATCAAGTTTCTTATCATTGTTGAAATCACCAATGGTTACTGCTTGAGGAATAGAACCAACTCCAGTTGAATACATATTTAAATTTGTGAAACTACCATTTCCATATCCATAAAGAATGCCGACATTTTCAGTTGCAGAATTAGCTACAATAATATCTAGTTCATTATCATTATTTAGATCAACAACAGCAACTGAAGTTGGAAAAGATAAGTCACCGGTAGAAAATACTGTTTGCAACGGAAAAGTTCCATTTGTATGTCCTAAAAGTACTCCTACATTATTTAAACCATAATTTGCTATGGCAATATCTAATTGACCATCATGATTGAAATCACCAAGAGCTAAACCATGTGGATGTGGAGAAGATCCAGTTGAATATGTATCTTCAAGTATACCATTCATATAAGTAGATCCAAGAAAAATACCTATCATATTCGTACCCTTATCGGCAACGACAATATCAAGAATGTTATCATTATTGATGTCACTAAGAACGACCCAAGTTGGACAAGAATTGTTACCAGTTGAATAAGTTCTTTGATTAGAAAACGTTCCATCACCTTCTCCAATAAATACTACGACATTGTTAGTGACACAATTAGATACGACGATGTCTAGTTGATTGTCGTTGTTCAAGTCACCAACAGTAATTGAAAATGGGTGAGAACCACTACCAGTAGAATATGTATTTCCTTGGACAAATGTTCCATTACCGTATCCCAAGAAAATAAGAATATTATAACTGTAATCGACAGTAATGATTATATCTCGATGATTATCATTATTCACATCACCGATAGCAATATCAGATGGAGTAGTGCCAAGTGGAACGAAATAGGAGATTTGATCTGCAAAAGCACCATTGCCATATCCAAGAAAGACTCCCACATTGTAACCCTTATAATTAGTGACAGCTATATCTAATCGACTGTCATTGTTAAAATCACCAATAGCAATAGATTGAGGTCCAGATGAGTTCCCAGTGGGATAGGTCTGTTGGCTGGAAAAAGTACCATTACTATATCCCAGAAATATACCTATATTGCAACCATAATAGTTGGCAACGGCAATGTCCAGTTGTCCATCATTATTAAAATCACCAGTAGCAACATCATACGGCATAGACCCATTGCCAGTCGAATAGGTAGTTTGACTTGAGAAAGTACCATTAAAATAACCAAAAAATATACCAATATTATTTGTTCCAGAATTGGCAACGACAATATCTAGTTGCTGATCATTATTAAAATCACCAATAGTGACTGAAAATGGTTGAGAATTATCTCCAGTTGAATAGGTTGTTTGACTTGAGAAAGTACCATTACCATAACCCAGAAATATACCAATATTATTTGTTCCAGAATTGGCGACGACAATATCCAGTTGCTTATCATTATTAAAGTCAGCAAAAGCGACTGAATTCGGACCACTTTGATTGCCTGTTGAATAGGTATTTTGATTTAAGAAAGTATAATTTCGATATGTAAGAACAATATCAACATAGTTGTAATCGTAATTAACGACAGCAATATCTAATCGATTGTCACCATTGAAATCACCAGCAGCAATAGAATATGGATTAAAATTGTAAGTAACACTGAAGAATGTCATTTGATCTGTAAAATATCCATTTCCATATCCAAAAAATATACCCACACTTTTATTGTCATAGTTTGCTACAGCAATATCAAGTTGAGTATCATTATCAAAATCACCAATTACTAGTGACAATGGCAATGAATTATTATTAGTGGAATATTTGTATGGTATTGTGAAACTTCCATTTCCAAAGCCTAAAAGGACACCAATTGTATTGAAACCAGAACAAGCAACTACGATATCCATATAAGTATCATTATTTAAATCATCAACAGCAACTGAATAAGGTTGAGATTTATATCCAGTACTAATTATGACTTGCGCTTCGAATGTACCATTTCCCTGTCCAACAAATATACCAACATTGTCAGTGCCATGATTTGCAACAATAATATCAAGGTTGCCATCATTGTTAAGATCAGAAACGACAAGTGAATATGGAACAGAATCATAACCAGTTGAAAATGTGTTTTGTTTTCCAAAATTTCCAGTACCATCTCCAAAAAGAATGCCTATATCATTAGTACCATAATTTGCAATGACTATATCAAGTTGTTTGTCATTGTTCATATCACCAACAGCAATCCATAATGGTCGAGATGAGCCAGTAGAAAAAGTAATTTGTGTCATAAAAGTACCATTACCTTTTGCAAGAAAAATACCGATATTATTGGCACCATAATTAGCTACAGCTATATCTATTTGTTGATCATAATTGAAATCACCAACACAGACAGCATATGGAAGTGAATTGGAACCAGTTGAATATGTGATTTGATCTCTAAATGTAGTATTGTCTTGTCGAAGAAATATTCCCAAAGTACTTGTGCCAGAATTAGGAACAACAATATCAGGAAGATGATCATTATTAAAATCAGCAACAGCAATAGAATGCGGGTGAGAATCACTAACAATTAAACTTGGCGCTTCCGATTTCAAAATAAATGCACATGTTTTACCTAAATAATATAAAAAATATAATATGAAATTAAAGTAAATATAATAAACTTTGTTGACTTCAAATATATTGAAATAATTTTAGTAGTAGAGTTTAAAACTATTTTATTACTATAACGAAATTTTTTTTCCGTGACAAGAATGTAAATGAATATGACTAAATGAGCATGAGAGATGTATACTATACCTAATGGTTTTGGCGATGAAAAATTAACTATAAGAATGCCAATTATCATCGATATACATGTGAACAAAACAAACATGAAGACCATTTTCTTTGAATTCGGCTTATGCAGAAAGTGCTCCGATCTAATGATGATAAATGTTAATTATATATGAAAATGAAATAAATCATACATACTCATTCGATGGAACTGTAACGGTCTCGTTAAGATCTTCGACAATAGTTTCGACAGACTGTTGATTCTGAATTGGGTTAGAAGTTCTTCTTGAATTGATATCAGAAGATATTTCATCATTTCGATGTTCTAATGTAAACATCTCAATATCCATAGAAGTCATTTTAATCTATAACAAAAATATAATTTCATAAAGATTGGCCATTTAAATCAAACTAAATCGACACAACTTATTATATATTTTTCTCATTTTATAATTATGAAACTAATATTTTAATTAATCATCTCTATCTTCTAGTTATTCTAGTAGTTTTTACTTTTAATTTTCTCTCCTTATAATTGTTGACGAAGAGAAAACTTCATAAAAGTACAAATTCTTTATTAATATAAACATTAGTTATTGTTTAATATTTACCTTATTATCTCGATCTATATGTATAATATTTCATACAAATATTAGAAAAAAATACAGAAATATAATAGTAAACAAGTATAAAATTATATTTTAATAACACAATTGAATGAGAAAATTAACTAATAAAATAAAATAAATAGATAATGATGTGAATAAAATATATTTAGTTTATGAAAAAAGAAATATATAAAGCAACGCAAAAAGTTTCATACTGATTAAAGATGAAGTAATTATGTCTATCGAACCATGAAGCATTTTTTTAAGTCATCGAGTAAGAGAAGAAATTTTTCTCATTAAAAAAATACCTTTCATATTGACGTTTAAAAATTTTTTCTAGATATAAACACCCACGATATAATTTGTTCACTTGAAGAAATCAAAAACCCAGAGAGAAAAATGAATATTATTTTTTTCAAAAATATTTATTAATTGATAAGAAATACTTTTTTTTTCTTATGTAAATATTCTACAGA